ATCCACTTTTTGAGTTCTTTGCGTGCTTATGCTGTAAAATTTGGTGTCAAATGACGGTTGTATCACCTCAGAATAATTGAAGTTATAGGCGTTTGTTTATGCTGAAAATATACGATTATTACGATACCTAGAACTTCGTCTGTCAAACTTTAGTTCGGTATGATAAATTTAAGTAAGAAAGTCCTTGCTACATCCAAAGCTCCGCGACGCTATAGCTTCTTTTATGCTGCGTTCAAGTGTGGAGGATACAACGATAAACATTCGGTTAACATTTCTTGAAGAAACTGCTTTACGACCCAGTCTTACGACCGTTGTAATATCAAAGAATGGCTGCACGACCAATTTCTGTACATCTGTATCGTTTCAAACTGTAGCTTCGTGGATGTCCGCTCGGCGACGCCTCCAGCGCAAGCTGGGTCGACTAACTACTTCATGCGTCTGATAGTTTCTGAGCTGTGTCTCCAGTGGGATATTTTTCTTTTTAATCGCTATAAATCGAGTGATGGCTCCACGCGGGTGTTTGCTGTAGGATCTCCTATCTGCGTTTTTGACAGGAAATGCTCATAGTGGTTTGGCTGCTTTCACAGTGACATATAGAACGGTGCGACGACGCCATCCTTGTTGTGGTATTTTGTTTGGTCATAAAGTATATTTATTCCGATTACAGTGCCAAAGTCCTGTCGGTGGACATATTCACGTGGACGCAATCCCATGTGTCTGTGCAATTATCCTGCAGTATTAGGAATAAAAATACATTTCAACAGAATCATGGCGCATTTTCCAAAAATACTTTCAATCTATTTGAATTGGAGTAGATTCTGAAACTTTCATCCCTAGTTGATACGAATAGATTGTGTGCGGTACTGTTCATGAGTATAGCTGGGAATAATAATAAAATAGCATAAACTGACTTCGATATTCATACACTTTGTCTCAACAACAACAGCAGTATTGTTAAAAGCGGGCCGTTAAACGATAAAGTACTCGAACCAGTTGTACGTACTTTCTTTAATGTATATATTGTCAAAAATAATTCTTTTGTTGATAAATTTATGGACTGCAAGATTCATTTTTCATCGACACTTCACTAACATGCGCGATAACTCCCAAATATTTGGTAATTTGAAACCAGCCTTTCATAAATTCTAACAACATGAATTGATTTTCAAGTGAAAGTCAAGTTTATTCTTATTTTTAGGTAAACATACACAAAACATCAAGTTCAATTGTAGTTTAAAGACATGGAAAATATATTGAACTCGAAAAATAACACAAAGTCTTGTTAATAAAGTCATACCATGCCCAGAAAAAATCCAACATATCGATCGTGCAGTATTTGCAGTTGGACACACGCTCGTGCGTCTTTTTCAGCACTGTATTCAACCCTTCCTCCAAATTAACCGTCCGAAATAGATGACCCCATTTTGAGCTGTCTACACTCTTGGTTGGTCTCCCCACTATGTCCATATATGTCAGTTGAGCGGAAATGAAAGTTAGATCTCTTGTGCTGGCCAATATTTGTCTCTTGAGTGGATACTTCACTTGTACATATCACCAATGATAATAGTTAATGCATGGAGGTTGGCAGTCATGTTTTGGCTGTCGCTTCTGTATATCATACACCAAATTAAAAAAGGAATATATAAAATATAATTGTTGTCCAAATTGCAAACTCTTTTACATCGACGAGATGGTACGTCGATGACAACTCGATGTCCTAATTTTCTCAATAATATAAGGAACTGTATTCCTCTGAACATTCGGAAGTTTTCCATACAAGATAGTTTTGCATTCATCAAACTCGATTCACTGTAAACACTCACCCTGACAGACAATTAACATTTATGCTCAAAAGCTTTTTTCCATGACCTCCAGTGAAATTAAATACCTCTGTTTTCCTGATTGTATTGACACGAACCGCTTTTAAGTCTCGGGTACATATTTAATAAACGCGAAATAATACACAATAACTCCTCATAGTATCTTGGCATTTTTGCGATCATCCGTGACTTCTCTGAATTCAATCCTCATAATGTCTGAATGCGCGTGACATTGCTTTGAGCAAATTTTGACAAAAAAATCCACAACAATAAAAATACCCACGCAGTATTGTAGAAGGTAAACACACCATTACTTGAAGGTAGATGGTTACTGTGGAATTCAACACCTTATAACCAATGAATGCTAACAGCATGTGTCAAATGCACTGAAGCGAAGTCGTTACTCAATTCCCTTCCGCATATGATTACTAGCCTATACCAATCATTTCAGGAAAGGTTATAGAAGTCTCGTGACGCCCGCGTTCAAGATTTGTGTTTGCAATGCACTTTTGTTGTAGTTATTACTGCCATGTACTTCTATTAAAGGTTAAGCGTATTTCATTATTTGCTACTCGGACTTATTCAAATTCGGTCGTGCAAATTTACGATATACGGAAATTTGATAACTCAAAAACTGTGCATAATATTGACCTCTAAAAGAGTTAGGAGGGATATATTCCGATAAGTACGTCAAATGCAGGTCCTAATCACAGGTAAATACCGTTTTTCTATTTGAACTTCTTGCAAAAAAGCATCCGCACTTTATGACCTTTGAACAAATTAATTTGTGGGAGCGTTTTAACGAATGCCTCAATGGCCCAATACATTTGTGTGAATAAACATGGTGATGTAGTTCATTTTGATAAAGAAGGGTGTTATTAGGATTTATTATAACTACAATTTTTACCAAACCGTTCGGGATTAGGGCGTGCTGCATTGTACTTAAGCGCCTCGCGTTGTGTTCTACATTCTACATCACATTGTGGAGGGCGGCCAATGACGTTGCGAAATTTGAGGCAGTTTATCACTGTTCCATAGTTGGCTACTGTGACATAATACATTTCATTCAATATTATTGAATAAACGGTTAGGATAATGCTGACAATCATAAAAAGTTTGCAATTAACCTGGATGTATTTGCATTCTGATAATATATATTTCAAACTCAACAGTGTAACAACGAACAGGTCACAAATGATGTAAATACTATGACGCATTCTTTTGTCACAATATATTTAATTGAGTCACGCAATAGCTGAATGTTGTACTTGCGAACGGTGGGCGTGTTTCCGCGTCCAGGTATTTGAATTATTTTATCGCTTATCTTTTGTTTGTACTCCCCCGATATTGATACAAGAATATCGAGCGAGGGTCTTTCCCGGGGTTGCAACTAAGGTATTAAATGTTCTCGACCGTGTTGTCTAGTCCCAAATCCTCTTTCATTGTGTTGCCATGCTCTTCACACATAAGACGTGAGATTACTGTATAATAAATGTAGGTAGGTGATTTGTGGGCTATAAAATAGTCAGGCATAGTTTACTCAGAAGGCTCTAAGTAGGTTGCGTTTTCTATCTTTATGCATTTTATCTGAAGTTGTAGGTCGTTCAATTAATTTGACATTATTCTAAATAAAAATAAACTTTACAATATATATGCCCCTTTGGACGAAACAGACAAGATTTGATTTGAGTGAGAAATTTTAATACCAGAACCATCAGGAAAATCTCGCTTGATCGCGGACCTTGCTCGCTCGCGTCAAATAACTCGTCCACTTTGTGATTTCTTTATTAGGCTTCAATGACAATTGTTAGAAGGCGCATATCAAACCTCTTTGTGTGAGAAATGAAGTATATATATTAAAATTCTGGAGGAAGCTGAGTAACGAAAAGTCGTATTTTGTACTTCGAGGGGTACATCGCGGCGATCATTCTGTAATTAGGAGTTTAAATTCATATAAAATAAGTAACACTTATTAAATTTCTTGTAATGTATTTTCAAATTATTGAATTGCTATCATATGCGTCTTACAAATATTCGGTATATTTATATACAAGTCTTTGCATATATTTTGAGTTCTGGGGACATAAATTTTATTGACTGCAGTAAATTTCATTTTAATGACAGGTATGAACGTGAAGGTATGAACAACAGCATTTAATTTACACTCCCGTGTATTGCAAACTGAAATGACGATATTCTCGTAAAGTTTACCATCAAATTTAATTTTCATTGCGACCTGATTTTGTGAAAGATCTTAACGCGTATATTTAACCAAATACAAAATTACCCGAGCACACTGGCAGTTAAGAATATTTCGTTTGCATATGGGTATACATACTACTTTTGAAACAAATAATGAGAATTCGCATTGCTTATGCTTTATGGCGATGGTCGGCAACCTTTTGTCGCTCGCGGGCCAAAATTAAGGTTGCAAGTCATTGGCGGGCCGCACATATTTTTAGAAAGTTGAAAAACCGAACGGATGATACTTTTTATAATAAAAATCAAGCAGTGATACATCTCACGAATAAATTGTAGATTTATTTCCTCATTGCATCTCATAAAATTTCATTTGAATATTTTCAGCGCCGTTGAACCCTTTGCACTTAGCATCAACTTTTCTGCGTTTTGTTGCCGTTTGTTTAAATATAATTAAATTATATGCTTATTAAACTAGTAATTGTGAATTTTATAATTGTTAGGTTTTAATATAATTTAGTCTAAAGAATATATTCGTCAAAACGGATGTTTTGTTACTATAATTTAGTGAAGCGTCGCGGGCCGGATTATAGTGCTCGGCATGCCGTAGGTTGCCGAACCCTGCTTTATGGTATTGGGCATTGTTTAATCTGTTGTCATGACTTGACGTTTTAAAAATTCATCTTCCGTTTTTCTCTCCGTTTAAGTTTATAACATGTCTAGTTTATTTGGTATTTAGGCTATAATAAATAAGACTCAATTAAATATTGAATGGTATTATTACAATTGACGGAACCACTGTCACACGGCGTCAAGGCTAGCAGATAACTTTTTTAAAATTAATATTTCATCCATGAAATACAAGAAGTTTTGTCCACATGTGCTCGGACCTATGCAATGCTATGAGGATTAGTTATATTATTTGAAACACCAAAGAAATTTGCACTAATTAAATTTTATTTGGGTCTTTCCTATTTACAGTTCAGATGAAAATGGGTTAGAATAAAATTATGGAGGAAATTAGTGAGGAAAAAACCAAGCTTATACTTCATTGTCTTTATATAATACTGAATGAATTCTTTGATACAAAGCAACAGTTGCTGTGGGTGCATTTTCTGAAGAAAAAAGCAGTAGTTTCGAAAGGTTAGAAATAGATAAATATTCCCACCTGCCATTGAGAATTGCAATGTTAAAAAACAATCGCCCCATTGCAGTTTATGATGCAAACTCGTGACTTCGTTGCACTTTGTGATTGAATTTGTGCGTTTATATTTCTATTTCATTCTGAAAGCAAGACTAGGTATTTTGTTTGATTTTTGAATTAATATATCAAATTAAGTCAAACAACCTTAAGCAATTTGTCCAACTACTTCCACAAGATGTATAATTTCAATACAAAAATTTTAGCATGCTCTAATATGAGTTTGCGTTTGTGAGGTTGATTATCAAAAGCATAAAGACTTTTCCTTTATTTTAACGAGTTGAGCTCATTTCTTTCAACTTAGTGCTGCTTTTTGCGAACAAACAATCAATTGGGATAATTTTGAGTTGCTTTCAGGTCAAGCCAAGAAAGTAGAAAAGGAATTCAAGAAAGATGAATATGAAAAGGGAATATCTAAGCTTATCGACTATATGGAAAAGAGAGAATGTCTCATTAAGTTGGAAAGATCATTGGAGTGTGAAGGTTTAAAATCTTAATTTGTCATGATAGTCATTTAATTGATAATCATGATAATCATTTAATTATAATTCCAAATGTATCATAATCGTTATGAGGAATAACAATGAAACTTAATTAACAACTGTTCATTTAAATTTTTGAAATATTTTTCCACATCATATTTATTCAAATTTATAATAATATTTCTCATTTGAATATTAGATTTTCCTGCAGAAAACAACACAAAAGTATTGTTAACCCACATCATAACTCATAAAAATGAAGATTTGTTGCTTTGTTTTCATCATTGGCATCAATTGCATCAATTACGAGACACTTTAAAGGATTCATCTCTCGATTCATCCGAGAATGAGTAAGTAAAAAAGAGAAAAGTATTTAGTTTTTCAAATGATAACTTAAGGTTACTATTATCATGTAATGAATTGCATTTTTCTTGATTACGGTAATATCACATTCTATTTTATAACTTTTTAACACAGCGATGAGAAGTTCAGAAAACAACTAGTGTTTGCAGCTTTGCATGAAATCACTGAGAATAAAGAAGAAAAAACTGTCTTACATGCAGTACGTGATATGATGCCAAGATTTCAGGTAAGTTTTGAATCTTTTGTGGTTCATCAAAATGAAATAATATCAATCAGAATATTTTATGACGATTCCACATCATATTTTTTGAGGTATGACATTTTGATTCATTTATATTTTTAACTATTTACTCTAATGTTATTTATTGTAGATCGCAATGCTTAAACTTTAAAATATTTTACATTGCTTCCATCCCTGAAGTTTGATATAAGCTTGCAAGTTAACTAGAAATCGGATTAAAATATTTCCATTTGGATTGTAGACTTAATTATTGAAGCAAACAAAGTAGTTTTTTGACTATTGTGATTGCTTGTTTTTTGGCTGTTGAAGTGTTCTATTCTTCAATTGCAAGTATTTACATCTCAACTAATATACATTAAATTTGTTTTCATCAGATCGATTCAGATACAACAAAAATACATGCTAGTCTGAAGAGACATGCAGAATCTTCAGGACTTCAAACAAAACCTATTGCAAGCCAGAATAGTCCTCAAACCAATATTGGTGAGTACAGAAATTATTTGAAGTTATGTTGAAAAAAAATGAGAATTTATTCATTTATAACATTTTATACTGTCAATTTATCCACTGTAAGGAAATTTAAGACAAGGTCTATAGTCTCTTAGTAAGACAAGTCTAATAACTTGAAATTTGCTCCAAGTTTTTTGTTTTTATTAAGCTAGGGTTGAGTATTTTGATTTGAGTATTCAGTTCATGATGCATTGGTGTTTCATTTGTTTGATACTTTAGTCGACTTTATTTTATTCTGATTCTTTGCATTGTACAAGTAATGCGATTAGGCAAGAGTGCCACAAGGTGTGTCAACAAAAGAACTGAGTCTTAGTCCAATATTTCCATCCAAATCCTAAATAAATAGACTTTAAGTAGCAGTTTAAACACATTACCACGATAACTCTAATATTATATATATTTACTTTATATCTGCATTTGGTCATGAACAGTAACTGAAGTCAAAAGAATATTTGTATTTTAGCATTGTTTAATTTAGTTATTCAGGTTCTTTGGTTCCAAATGTGTTTTAGTTTATTACTTTTCAGGTTTATTTTTTATTTTGAAAGTTAATTTTGTTCTTTCTTTTGTACGTATTATATCATATTTTAATTCTGATACAAAAAAGTATTGAGAGAAGAGCATTTTTTAAAGCACAGTATTTTACAATTTCATAGCCAAAGCAAAGAATTTTCGAGAACATGCTAGAAGTTTTAGTTACTGTCATAAGTTTTTTTATTTTTAGCCGTAAGTTCTCATTACTTTTTGCAAAAATTCTTTTTTGAATTGTTGCTATTTGATGTTTCTCAGGTAATAAGTTTGGACCAACTAATGAAAAGAAACCTAGAGTAACCTGTAAGTTTTGCAAAATTGTGATTACTGTAAATTTGATGTTTAGAAATAGTAACTATTTATTAATTTCTGAATAACTCCTGGATTTGTAGTATATTAGAGATAAACACAATGATTTTTACAATAGTAGGTTCTTAATATGCCAACAATACACAATGAAAGTAAAGACAAAAATCACATTTCAGTGTCAAGAAAAAACATATAACCCAATACTGATTATCGAACAGTTATGAAGCGCAAACAAAAATTCATACATTTGTAGAGGAAAAACAATTGAACTATGTATATATCTCATATATCCCATCCCAGAGTAAACTGCATTACTATCTTTTACATATTAGAGAAAGTTCGATGCACCAGCTAAAACCTTCCTGAGACTGGTATTGTCAAAAAGTAACACAATCTGGCAACATTTATTGGCCAGTGAAGGCTTCAAAAGTTGTATGGTTTTGGGCCTATTTCAGAGTGCGTCAGGGGGGGTCATCAGTATAGCCATATAACCATCTATCAGCAGTTTCTGATGTTTTGGGCACCCTCTTTGATGTTCTGTTTAAAAATTACTTACCTAACCACTTTTGTGTATGACTATATTAATGATCAGTTGATCGCAAGGTATTATGAAGAGATAGGTATTCTCAGCAAAACAAGTTGGAGGTCACTGTTATATTGTAACAATCATGTCTATGTCACGCTGCATGTAATAATGGTTGGTTAAGTTGTATTGCGGTTTGAATAATTAACATCTCATGTTGCCATTCTGAAATTTTGGAACATCACAACGAGCAAGCAAATTTAAAAAAAGGTGTCACCAAAACCTAAAATTTGAAACAATTTAGTCAACACTTTTGAAGATGAAAAGGATTGTGCAAATCAGAAGTTATCAAGCATCATGATTCATTTGTAAATATAATCTGATTATGTATTCTAGAATATTTCTGCAGTAGCAGATTTTAGGTTCATGTTTCAAAGGCATTTATTCTGGGACAAAATGAAATCTGATGTATTTATTTTTCCAACTAAATTTCTATCCATAAACTCACTAATGAAACTGAAATTTATGAAAATGGGCTTTGGTTTATCGGGGCATCTGAATAGGTGTTCGGTATTGGGTCACCTGTAACTTGATAATCTATCAGACTATACTCCACTTTTTCTGCCTTGGCTGATGTCCATTGTAAAACTTACTTTTTGTTAATGTATTTATAAGAATGTTGACAAATATATTACCTAGTAGTTTTTGTTTAGTGACCTGTTGAGTGATCATTCATGATTTATGCTTATTAGATATAGTAATTTACAAATGGGAGGTTATTTGTTAGTTGACACCTTCCTAATTACAATAGAATTTAAATTTTTCTGGCCCAAGGTGAAGCTGAGTCTTAATAATATGACAAGTCATGATTTTTCTTCCGGTCAATATTTCATGAAGGGTATTGGAATAATTAATTACCTAGTTGTTTGTTTAATGGATTTGGAATGAAGAAAACAATAACCAAACAGGGTTTAAGTCAAGCAATCTCTTTAGTCATATTTTCCTAAATGGAATTAAAATCCATGCAGGGTATCAGTGTGTAATATCAAGATGTTTCCAATGCTTAGCAAGATACATTAAGACATTCATTCAGTCCTGTGTTCCAGGTGCAACTTGTTACAGAAAATAAACAAAAAATCTGATTGAATAAATTTAACAGTAGTACATGTTCTTTTTAGTGCATAACATATAATGCAAAATTATAATGGGTTTAGACTAGTGCTGATACAATCCTAGTTTGATGATATTGATGATCCAGTTTTGTTTGTATACAGATGATATTGAAAGAAAAAACTTGAAAAGATCAAAGGAAAAAGATGAAGCTAATACAGATTCTAAAAGATCTAGGTCTAAGGGTAAATAATAATATGTAACTCTCAAATCTAACTATCATCACTGCAAGTCTTGCATTTGTATATACCCTAATAATTTTGATTTGAAATGTTACAGTTTTAATTTTTGTTGAATGTCATAAAATTACTTAGTTTTATTCCCTCAGACTTTGCCATTTTTGGATACTTGGATACAAAAATTGAAATTGTAAAGGGACTCAATGGACACCCTGTAGATCAAATATATATTTTACGATAAAAATCATGAGTATTTATACAGTAATAGTTCTATTCAAATATATGTGAAATATTTCACTCTGAACGAAGTTTGAATTATATTTCAATAAAAATTAAATATTTCGGTAGCTGATACTTTATCCAATCATGCCAGGGGGTATTAATCGCAGCGCAGATGTGCTGTTGCAAATTTTCATCAAAATTGTCACAAATTTTTGGGTATACGATCAATTTAAATTCGCATATAATAGAGACCTAAAATAGATAATAGAGAATAGGCCATTCAGTGAAATACTGAACCAACAGTTTGAAGAAAATTACGCCTAAACAGCATGTCGAGTGATGCGTAAAATAGTGTGTTGCGCTGAACTTGAAATAAATGACGTCAGATCAGTAAAAGTCAATCACGAAAAATTCATTTTCATATTCATCCCGTAATTTGGTGTTATGTGAAGTGCTGCATGAACGCATTCGGCAGATTTAACGTCGCCGAAACGTTCAATGTTTGTCTTCTCCTGTAAATCGCTCTCTTTTTTCGAATCGCGTAAATCTGATTTCCATAAGTGGCATCCCTACCTCAGGCTCAAGATAAAATTAATATCATGGAAAGCTAATGGATTTGTGCTATGAGAAATTTTGTTTTAGAAATGGCCATTAGGGGTGCTCTTCTCCATTGAAAAATCTTTCCATCATTTGAAATAGAATGAAACAGAAAAATGTGTCTTGTTCAGAAGATGTCAATTTTTTTGTATTCATATATCATTGCAGATGAGAGACATATGATTTGGCATAGTACAATATATGCCAACTGTCAAATTTTCAAGAAGGTCATTTATTCATCAATTCAAGTTCATAAATTGGTGTCCACAGCAAACTACTCACCAATAATCCTTTATCAATGATTAATATGTTATGTTTAGATATTCTTATGTGTACATCTAACTTTAGTTCCAAGCAAAGTTACCTGCCAAGTTACCAAAGTTACCTAAAAGAGACTCATCCCTATCTTTATTATAAATTAAAATATTTTTGTTTTCTAGGAAACGAGACAAGTGATGAAAGAGACCAAGAAAATCAGATAACAAAGCAGAGTATGTTTTTTTCAAGAAGCATAATAATTACTAATATATTAAAGATCTTGATTGTGAGATATTCAGCTTCGGCACTCAAGAAATTAGAAAAAACATCAAAACATTGTTTGGATTGTAATTGGAACATACCACTCTTTTGAAATATAAAGGTTCTATGAGCGATTGATCCTCCAAAATATGCTGTTGTGTATAACAATAAAATATTAATAACAAATACATTAATTAACATAGTAAATGTGCAGAATGGTTATTAGAAAATAACTGTTTTTTATTTTGTGTTTTTACAGAAGTGCAAGATATTATGGAAACAAGAAATAAGAAAAAGAAATTAAAGAAGGATAGACTGAAACCTCCTGGTGGTAAGCGTGATATTGGACATCCAACATTCAACAAAAATTACAAATGAAAATTTGTATTCATTCGGGACATTCTAGATTACATTCTAGCACCCTAATATATATATTTTTTCATAATGTATGCCAGATATATGAATATTGAAATTTTAGATTATGATCAGATCATCATTAATGTTATTACACTCACAATCCATTTGATCTTGCAAATTAATTCTGGCATTTGTATCACAATTGACATTTGTACTTTATAGTCTGAGTTGGAATTTATGGTAAAATTATATTTACAAAAGGCTCAAATAAAATTTACTTTTGTATTGTTTTTACATATATTTTTGCTCACCGAAATGTAACTACCGGTACTTATTTTAACTGAAACATTGCTTTCTAATGTTTTTGTTGAAGCCCAAACACTGTTTTGGATTTTTTGGTTCAACTGCAATGCTATTAAATCACTAATACTGGTTATTCCTAACTCTGTTCAAATGAAGCTGACACAAAGCTTTTTTGATCGAAATAAAATTATTAAAAATGATGGCCATCAGGAGAATGAAGTAGTCATTTATTTCTTTAGAAACTGAACCTAATTTGGAAGGAAGAAAAGAAAATAAAGCGCAAAAGAATCAGAACACAGAAAAAAGTTAGTATAGTGTTTAAGTAAAATATATATGAGAAATTTGAATTCTGTTAAAATGCTTCTGCATTACTTCAAAATTTAAGGTATTAGAATATGATTTGGTTTCGCACGAAGCTGGGGAAGAATAAAAACTAATAAAGTAAATGTTTTAATTAATACATATATACTCTTGTATATAAAAATATGCGCGCTCCCGAAGTATCTGCATCAAGATGGCGCACAACCTGAACCCTAACCTGTTACACATACTATGTTAGGTTGTGCGGCATCTTGGTCCACATACTTCTGGAGGTCCAAAATAAGATAATAACAAATGATTTTAGATTAAAAAGCAGAATGTATATGACATCATATGGCTTGGCGCGGCAGTGTGGCTCATCGTGCTAAGCGTTAGGATACGCTCGCCACCGCACCTCTGATTACTCTGCGTGGGTTCGCAGGTTCGAATTCCATGCGGGAATGGTTATGTGCGAAAGAATTGCTTGACTCCTCACCTCTGTAGGGGGGTTCACGTAACCGCTGGTTGGTTATGGCTTCCTCCACCATCAAGCCCATGCCTCCGAAAACAAATAACTAACTAATCCCATACTCGACATGGAATGGTAACCGGACGAGAGGCCGTGGTTCGCCATATGGTTAAGCCGTCTTATCGGCTTTCCTCTCCCCGGGGATAAATATGTGATTTCCTCATATATAATAGTGAACAGCCAGCTGTGATAGTTCAGTTCAATAACTCTTGTCTGACTTGTATCTCAATTGTCATTCACAACTCCATGAAATAGACAAGTTGTACATATCACTACTTTGTTCACTACAGCCGACGTAAAAGTTGCTCAGATTTGTGGGAGAGATTGGGAGGGAAGCCTGGCAAAGAATATTATCTCTGTAGTGATTCAGGCATTTCAGATGATGTTCATTCCTATTATCTGTGATTTTGCAGGAATGTACAACTTGACATAACATACTTGAAATATGAGTCAGTAAGGGTTATTGACAGGGATGCTGACTTACAAGCCTTATGATACACGGTAACACAGTCACATTTCATTGTTTGATAATAATTTGGCATTGCACCACTACATAGAAGGCATGAAATTCGCACTAAATTATCGGTAATTCTAGCATGGTGCATTATACATGTAAACTGATTCTTTCAAGTATCATGAAACAGTCTTTTGACAATTTCGGGATCTCTTATTCCAACAGATCATTGAAACCTTTTAGAGTCCTTTGCAGTATTGTGCCATTGTTATTTGACATTCTTGCTTTGATCTACTGCTAAATCCTTGTAAGGTCGAAGATGAACTGCTTGATTCAGACTCCATTCTGGAGGTGTGGGTGCTGTATCATTAGGAACAGCTAATTCTAATTCTTTGTCAGAACAGATAATCATACTAGTACAAACTTAAGAAATAGATAATTCAAACCCAATGATTGTAACACTGTTAACAAGGTTCAGGAACAAATCTAAACACAGGCTAGAGCACAAGAAAGTTAACTACATCAAGAAGCAATCAAGTAATCAACCAGCATAAACAATCTAACAAATAGTATCAAGTTAAATGTTCAAACCACACATCATTTGATAATTTAACAATTTTCGATGAATAGTATCATTAAACAATGGAATTGGTATTAGTTTTTTGTGGTTTCCTCACTTTACACTGCTTTCACCAATGCCAAAGCTGCTGACTTATCAATGTTTAAGCTACTTTCGACTTTTCAGTTATACATGAAACAATGTACACAGATTTGTTTAACAAAACTTGAAAAACACATGACACACTGTGGCTTTGTGTCCTCATTGCGTATACATGCAAAGCCATGTTTCAAAAATTAACTAAGCACATCGCAGAGCTTTCATTTATCTTCACTATAAATCATATGCTTCATTAACAGGACAGCCTGCATAAACATAGCCCATCCTATTCTCTGATATCTTTACCAAGAAATATGACATGATGAGGATTAATATATAAATGTGTTGGGTGTGATGCTGTGAAAGTATAAAAACTATGCGGTAAAATATTTTTCATTTAACTTTTTAGGAGCCGCACCAAATGTAGCAGAAGAGAAGGAGGAACAAAATGAGAAAGAACATAAGCAAAGTTGGTATATGTTTCTTCATCAAACCAGCTGCGCTTTGTACTGAACTATTTTTTAAATATTCATTAGCAATTGCAAACACCGTTTTTCTCCGTAGATTATAATTTTCAAACTCCATGCATAAAACGCATATCAAAATTCCGACCTCTCTCGCCTTGTAGGTGTTTTTTCCGGACGTTTCAGGCATTCTGTCTGCTTGCCTTTTGTTAACTATATATATCTGGTAATATGTTTTATGTATTTGCCTGTGAAACATCTGCCAATCATGACTTGATTTGACATTAAAGTATCTTGTGAAGTTATTTGTCCCTCCCCCTTTAAAGGCTGTCAAGGCCTGGTATCGGAATGTGTTTTCAGACGCCGCACTTCAAAGAGAAGCTGTAGGTCACTCATATGGTGATTTATTATGGTAAAGTTTTGCCGATTGGGCGAAACAAGAGAAACAGACCAGACAATGACAGCAGTTAACAGATGTACAGCATGTTTTTATCACTTTTGTTTCACCATTTTTTCTGCGCCTTTATCAACATTAAATTGTTGTTGAACTGGGTATGCTTCTAACGAATCAAGCATGATCTGATTCTAACAGACTTTACCACATAAAATTAAGAACTTAATAAGACAATAATTAGCCAGTTGAAGGATAAAATGGGAAATAATTTTTTTTGATATTCTTTAATCCAATGTATAATACGCACCCCCACATTTATGAGACTAAATTTGACCATGAAAGTGCATATTATATGCGGAGATATAAGGTAGTTTAAATACATATATATTGAAATACATAATTAAAAAATTCTGTTTTCATTTGAACATCTTCAAATACACAGAGAGTTTAAAAGCTTGCTGTTTACCATTTGTCAATTTGAGTAATTCAAAAATAGTTATTGTCCCAAAAAAAATATACCAGACACAGTATTCTGCTTCATATATTTTTAAGTTTAGGTAAACTACTGTTGCCTTCGCCCATTTTTTTTTATTTTATTTCAAACAGTCGTGATGCATTTATTGTTATGCTTATCGTACTTATTGTTACATTGGTAGCTATTCATTGAATGTATATTATTTTAATAAAATATAACTTTCACGACAATAGTTCCACAATTTTAGTTTATGTAGGTAATTATTGAATATGTTATAAGATGTAGATGAGCAATTCTGATAGCCCGGGTGTCATATGTGTTCCGCTACTTTTAAAGCCTTTAATTTGTTCCAAGTGGTATAATTGCAGACTATTAGCTAACATAGCATACAATTTACTTAAATATATGGTGTTATCATACAACTAAGAATTTGTGATTTTCTGATTAAGTAACTGGACAAAGTACAGAGAAGGGAGAAGGAAAGAAGTCGCAAAAGAATGAAGACACAAAAGAAGGTTTGTAATTCTCTTGGGATTCAGTTCGAAGCAAAGTTGTGGGGCATGTTTTACAAAGCATGTATTATATATTCGATAGTTCCATTCAATATTCCATTCGAAAGGTTTCCTTTTTGCTAATTTAAGATTATATTGTATGTTTATTTTCCATATACTCCATTATATATATAGAAGTCCACCTAATGCAGTGGTTCTCGACCGATGGCCCCCCAAGGGGGGCCACGACACAGGGCTAATAATTGATTATAAAGCGACTTTGTTTGCATAAATTCCCCTTAATAAAAGAATATTCCCCGCTCACCTCAGTTTCATTACCAGAATAGGTTATTTCCGGTCACAAGGTGTATTCACTTCCTTGTGCGCGGATTGTTTGATCATAACGGAATTTGGAATCTAATAATCAGAATAGTTCGCTGGCAGGCCGTATAACCTGCAGACGAGCAGTTTTAATAGAATGCGAGTTAACCGTCGGTATCGTATTAAAAACGTAGAAGCCTATACGTGAATTCCTACAGCCCAAAATACGAAAATGGAACGACAGTTACGTTGGTTTTGGCTCTACCAAAATAAATAGAGATGACAGAGAATGTGCTCAATGCATGTATTGCTCGTATGTAATGAGCAATGAATCATTACGTCCATCTAAACTCCAAAGCCACCGTGACAAAAATCATCCCCATGTAAAAGATGTTGATATTGATGCATTGGCTGCCAAGCGAGTTAGATTTGACAAGGTAGCAACATTGACAAAGTTCGGGTTTCTGCCGGAAGATAAGCCTGCTCTTAAATGCAGTTATGAAGTGGCATATCGTATCGCAAAGTGCAAAAAGCCGCACACCATTGCTGAGGATCTTATCAAGCCATGTGCAGAGAAAATGGTGGAACTGCTGCTAGGTCCCAAAGAAAAAAGTAAAACTCAGCAAGTTTCTCTTTCCAATAGTACAATCCGTCGACGTATTGATGACATGGCAGCCGATGTATGTCAACATGTTTGCTCCGGAATCAAGCAAAGTAAGCTTCAAGCTAGTCTTCAACTCAATGAATCCACTGATACCACGCTGGAAAGTCACTTGATCGCTTTTGCTCATTACGAAAAAAAATTAAAAAATAAAGAAAGAGTTTCTCTTCTGTAAAAGCATGCCTAGCACCACTACTGCATTAGATGTGAAAACGATAGTAAATGCATTTTTTATTGCTAACTCAGCTGGTGCAATTTTAAACATGTTTGCACAGACGATGCCTCAGCGATGGTTGGCGTCAGGCCAGGCTTTGTGGCGCTTGTAAAGAAAGATTGGCCTCACTTAATGTCTTCTCAATGCTCGTTACATCGGTACGCACTTGCAACAAAAACTCTACCTTCCCGTTTGCTAGAAGTCATGGACATCACCGTTAAAGTGATTAACTTCATACGTGCGAGAGCCAAAAACCACAGACTCTTTCAACTTTTAACTAATGAAATGAGAGCTGAACATGTTTGTCTTCTATTTTTACCAATGTCAGATGGCTTTCAAGGGGGAAATGTCTATCTCGGCTGTATGAACTCCGATTTGAAGTAGAAACTTTTCTACGGGAAAATGGAAACAATTTCCACACTTTTTTCCACAATGAAGAGTTTGTCATGATGCTTGCGTATCTTGCAGATGTATTTGGGTGCTTTAATGAAATGAACCTGTCCTTGTCCTAAAAATGAACCTGTCCTAAAAAGTAGGGATCAACGGCATCGTTTCCTCTGTTAGACGAGTATTTGCTGACTAAAACAGTAAAGTTGCATGATGACATCAAAACTATTATCATTGAACATCTCGCGATAGTTTCTGCTGAGTTCGAATTGTATTTCCCAGACAAACCGTTACATATTCCGTGGTACAAAGACCCATTCGTCACTGAAATCTCTCAGATAGATTAAGAAGCAGAGGAACTGGCACTACTGAAAGCTCTGAATGAGATGAAGTTGGCTTTCAAAAATGAGGAAGACATTTCGAGTTTCTGGTTATCTCTTTGGGATTCTTACCAACTACTTAGTAAGAAAGCTTCTTTATTGCTAGTTCAATTTGCCACAACCTATTTGTGTGAATCTGTTTTTTCTGATCTTGTTACCATCAAAACAAAATCTAGAAACCGTCTTGACGTTGACAGTGACATTCGTCTGGCTATATCAAAGACGGTGCCTAATATAAGAAACCTAGTCAGACAGTCCCAAGCGCAAGATTCCCATTGATTGTTTAATAAAAAGCTTTGACTTTCCTACCTGTGGTTTGTCTTTGCATTCTATAAAAGGTCGCAAATTTTTCCCAACACGTCTAGTTTTTTGGAATGATGAACAGGGGGCCTCGAGTCATAAAAGGTTGAGAACCACTGCTAATGTATATTTGGAGGAAAAATAACAGAAAGAAAACTTCTAATAATTGATACCACATATTGGTGTTAAACAAACTGGTACACATTTTTTAATTCTTACGATATTTTGTTTTAAATTTTAAAGCTGATACAAATCATGCCGTGCGAGAAAACTTACAAAATCAACATTCAGCAAAGAAAAGGAATTCGCCAATTAAGGACATTCCAGAACAAAACTTAGATGACGGTAATTGCAGTACATATGATTCTAATGTGGATAAAATTGTAATGTCACAGTTTACTATTACCTTAACACTAATTTGTATGTTTTTTGAGGTTGCATCAAGTTTTTTGTGTCCTTTTCACCGGAATTCTACCACGATCCGAAAAACAGCGGCATACTAATCTATCTAGATTGCTTTGAAGAAAAGTGTCTATACAAAATGGCTTATCATGAAGGGTTAGTGATTTATAAAATGTACCTTACTTGGTTTGCATGAAGAAGGAACGTAAACATTAAAACATATCTTAATATAGCCTATATTTAATGTGTGTCTAAAACGTTGTATAAAAATAAAGGCCAATTTTGATAATACTTGCCAGATGAATCTGTTTTTTTGGGATATGCTATTTGTTTGTTTGTTAAATTGATGAAAGCCTGTAATTGTCTGTCAATCATGATGTTCTATATTAATATTTAGTATTTATTTAGAAATGATTACTATTTTTGCACTATACAACGTATGAAAAATTGGACAGAATTACTATATAAATTTTGCTATGTTGATACCAGTAACCAAGAAAATTGGGAATCATTGCCTTCACATGTATGGAATGTAAATAGATATATTGATCTATCAGGTTCGTACAGTGGTAAATGCTTGAAATAATACTTCAGGTTGTGTGCAATAATTATTGAAAAATATTTTATTTTTCTAGAGAAAGCCGATACCATTTCATCATACAATGTTTTTATATTTTATAATGATCAACGATATCCATGGGGAGATTTGTGGTGTAGTGGAATGGGAAAATTTTTGCCAAATGGATTTTCAAATAAACATTTCGGTGAACTGCTGGCATGGATTAAATGTGTCCAAAGTGGTTGGAGCTGGAATATCGATTGGTATTATAATTACACGAATAATGTGAAACCATCGCAACAAGTGAATAAAATTTTTCTGTCACTAGCATATTGTATTAGGTAAATTGTATCTAACAACTATTTGTGAAAAACCTTATATTTTGGATTACATTATTTGCTATGGTTAGCACCGTTTACTGAATATTTTTTCATTAATTTTCACTATTAATTTTTTTGTTCAAATAAACATTAGCTAAGTTTCACATTCTAAACAAGATTCTTCGATTTGTTTCAAAATACTGTTACAATTTTCCTGAAAAGAATATTTCTTATTGGGGATAATAACCATCCAAACTATCTTCTTGATGTACATATTCATTGGTCTAGACTAGATCAGTGATTCTCAAACTGGGTTTTGAGAGCCGCATGCGGCTCTCGTTAATGCTTTGAAAATTAATTATTTTCAAAAAAAATGTTCATTGAAAACTAATCATTGACTCGAAATTAAAATGCTGAGGTCTATTAGTCGATTGGATTCCCCCGTGTTTATTTGCGTAGCGTTGACTAACCTACAAGATGCAATAGTGACACAACAGTGAGCGTTTTCACGGCCACTCGGACACTTTTCACTTGGAAAGATTTTAGACATGGCTGTAATCATTGGCTTGCTTCCGTGGATTTTCGGTGTTTGTCGCATTCCCGGATATTATGCATAAATCAAATAACTCAATGAATATTTTAATTCTAGAGTATTTTAATTTTGTTCCAGTAATCGAAAATAGTCCCGGAATATCTGGCGATCATCTCAAGCAGCTACTGCACTTTGCATCCTCCACGATTACGACCCGCTTTGACAAACTTATTAGAAATCAAAGCTGAATTAAATGGCTGTAAGTCTAGGGCGGGCAAAATAGAATCTTTTTTCGAATCGAATAATTTGAATATTTTTATACATAACAGAGATCCAGAACGTCGGAGGTCGATTCTATACACCATTTAGAAATTGATAGAAACATTGAAAAGTCGACAAAAAAGCGTTTTTTTTACTGGTTAATGGTTAATTATATCATATTCGCTGATTGTCACTACGATCGTTTTGGCGGCGATATCCTAAAGTTGGTATTCTATATTCTCGTCCTTTCTCGTTTTTTGCAAGAATAAGCGGTCGGCGAATTTGGAATTTCCATATTTCCAATATTCCCTTGCGTTCACATCAGCGACAGCTGTTGAATACATTAAGGGCTGATTTCAAAACCAAATTAATTTTATTCTGAGTTTTATCCTCTGCCTTGGATTTGATCTTCCTTATCACCGCTTGTAAATTAAACGTGTCTGTTTAAAGTGAACGGTAACCGAAATGCAGATATTTAAAGGATAATTGAGTTCTCATGCTTTTCTATGGTGTTCGTGTTATTTTAGTATTAGATAGATAAACCTAGCAAATTTACGATTGCGTGAATCCTGAGTGTTGATTTGAAAAAAGCGATTAAATAAATTGGCAATAAAGGCATTTCTAAGCCTTCGTGCCTAATAGAGGGCCAGACGCTAATTATACCTAATTCCTTCAAGTTTTAACATTTTTTAACAAAACATCACCCCGATGGTTATTATAGCTAAAATACTTACTGAGTAATGCTCAATTTTCTCTACGGAATTTGCAAATTCAGCACTTCACCTAATGATTTTGATTATGTCATGCTTTAAGGCTTAATTATTACCACCAAATGCTTCAAAATTTACCAATTGTAATCATTTTCGATGATAATAGACGCAACAATTCGTGAACGAGTCAGTGTGCATTGTCACAACGAAATTCACTTTGATTTTACGTTCTACTCCTGGCTCAACGGCCATGCATGGTCGATTACGATGTTACATATTCAAAATATTACTTGGCCAAGGATGGAAGGGATCAGTAAAGAGCTAATACAAAGTGCTTTAAAGATAGTAGGACATGACATTTCTTATCTGGTTACAACTTAATGAGTATTTTTCATACAAGTAACTCATACCAGCTTTTGAAAAATCTTTTGGTCATTTTTAAATCCATGCTATTTACTTAACTAGAGTTTTCTAACGACCTAAAATAGCCTTTTTCACAATGAAACGCCGAAAAGTTATTTTAACATTTAATTTCAATCAACTTTATGTTCGGTAATGCAAGAAACGGCTAATGACATGACACCAAGCATGCGGAGTTTAAAATCTGAGAAATTTATTTTAAATACCTAATCTGGTTTGATGTTTATAAATTTACGGAACGGTCGGTACGTTTTTTTTGCAAAATAATGATTTGAAACGATACGTTAATTAAGTGCAAAGATAAGCATATAACGCCATAACACAAAGACAACGACTTTTTTTCTGATAGCGAGCGCCGTTGGGAAATCTCGCACAAATCACGATTGAGTTGAAGACGCGCGATTTCGGTGTCCAAGCAGAGCGGTGCAGGTCACGTGGTACCGGATATTCGAATAGTAAAATGTCAATTGAATATTTCATTATTCGAATATTTTGCCCAGACCTAGTTGTTACGTGTGTTGTTGTTACGATGACTTGGTATTTTAAATACGCGCTGAAGGTTTGTTGCTATTTTACCTTGCATTGTATTTGTGCGGCTCTTCATAACTTTGAGGTCTGAAATGCGGCTCTGGGACTAAAAAAGTTTGAGAACCACTGGTCTAGATTTTTCAAAGGAATGTACTCACATCAAATTTCTTTGCAATAATGATGTGAAAAGTTTTTTTCAATGTTCTTCTGACCTGAAAAGGTAGTTTTAAATTTGTAGATTGTCTGTGCATAAAAGTTCATCTGTACTATCTTATACCCTTAACCTATTTTATAGGTGGTTGAAACATTGTTGCATTCCTGGATCAAATCATTCGATAATAGAAATGACAAACAGGAAATTATTAATCACATTATTGCCGCATTGGAATTGATTGTTGGACTGCGAAAGGAAAAATATGATATTGCTACTTCTGATTTTTTGTCGAAGATATTTGCTACCTTGGATACAAGCGATTTGGATGACAATGATATATCAAAAATATATGATAGTCTTACAGAGATTCTTTCTAGTTGCAGGTTGATAGGAATATGTTTAGCCCTTTAAATTTAATACTGCTGATATTTGAATTATGTTATTACCTAGATTCAACTAGCATTGATAAGTAACAACTTCCCTCAAACAAACAAGTCAATTTTCTACAGACATGTAATTTTGGAATGTAGTTGCCACAATAAGCGCTATAATATTATTCAGTCCTTACTCCTTAGTACAAACCATTGTGCAAGTTTAAGTAATTATAAATCGCAAACATAAAATTCATTGTTATTGGCCTATTTATATTGGATTGATTTTTAATATTTGCATTAAAAAAGTACTATTGCATTGTTAAATGATAATATCACAGATTACATATTAAAATTATAATATAATTCAATTTTATTTCTTGTTTTTATTGGCCAAGTTTGTCATGTGTTGATTGATAAAAAAATCTAATATTCAAACTGTTAAATCTTAATATATTATTTTTATATGATATAGCATTCGCCTACCGACAATTTCTGATGCATTACATGCGTTGTTCAAGAAACTTGAGAAATCACCCAGTCCCAATTGGTTATTGGCACTTCCCCTGTATTGGAAATTTGCAAATGGAGATGCTAAAGATGACAAATATCAATACTGCAATCTGTGTTCATTGCCAGTAATTCAAAAGTTTGATTGGACAAAAGTTTGGCGAGCTTTCTGTGGTGGAGATTTACAAAAGTACATATTTGGATTACTTTGGTTTGGGAATACTATTATTTGGAAGCTGATTCCTGTTTTATAGATGTGGATTTACTATAAGGATAGCTTTTTCTTATTTGTCCCAAAGTAGAGGAAAGGCAATAAGACACATAATCATAAGGCGACCCATGGCCTATCATCCGGTCATCAGTCTTCCAACATCATGACGGGTATGGGAATAAGGGAATGCGTGAGGATTAATCAGTGATGCAGTGGCAAGGCTTGCCAGCAGGCTTGTCCAAAACGAATCGAATATTCGAATGTATTCGAATATCTTTTCGGCTGATTTTCGAATAATTCCGAATAATAGCCACTTTCAGATGTCAGCGTGGTGTTTCGTTTTACAGAGAAATCTTCAAACGATTTTCGCGCGCCTCGTATTGTTGCGACACATTTGCACGGTCGCGAGATTGGCACTATCGCCATTCCCTTGCAAGGCTTCTAACTTACGCATTCATTTGTATTGAGTCACAGGTCTCACATAAATACAAATAAATAAAGTCGCGCGCTTGGTTACGACACCCAATAAATTATGTCAAAAGTATCGACTTTTTATCATGATGATTTTACATTGTGACAAAATATTCAAATTCATGAACAATAACAGCATTTAAAATGCCTTGTCGTATTAGTTTACTTTTGTTTAATTAATGTAACTCGTAGTTGCGTCAACTAACGATAAAATAAAAGTATTACCGCGGTAATCTGCGCACATAAATGATGTGGTAAACTGGCCAATTATAATTAATTTGTTATACCTATTTCCGTACTTACGAAAAACAAATAATATTACAACCTTAAAATACCACGGCAATCTGTGGACATAAAATGTGTGGTAAACTGCTTGATTACAATTAATCATATTATTTCCCGCCTTAAGGAAAATAATTTTGATAAATGATAGTTGAAAGTATGGACTTTTACCTAAGATGATTTTATGTTGCGAAAAAATATTTAAATTCATGACCGATAACAGCATTTAAAATGACTTATTGTATTAATTTAATTGTGTTTAACGTAACTCATAGTTTTGCCGACTCACGGATAAATTAATGCATTACTACTCTAAGATACGGCGACAATCTGTGGACATAAAATGTGTGGTAACTGCCTGATTATGATTACGAAAAACAAAAGCATTACAACTTTTAAATAACATGGTAATCTGTGGAAATATAATGTGTGTTAAAATGCTGGATTATAATTAATTTTTGATTCATATTTTCGTACTCACAAAAAAAACACTTTATACTTTTACCCACTTTCGGCAAATAGTTTTGATAATGATTGTTAAAAGTATGGACTTATCCGTTGTGGCAAAATATTTACCGTAAATCCATGACTGATAATTTAAAATGCTCTCCCTATTAATTTACTTTTGTGCAATGTAGCCTTGTAACTTTAAAATACCACGGCAATCTGTGGACACGAAACTAATGGTAAACTGCCCTATTATAATTAATTTTGATTTGCATTCTTGTACTTGAGAAAATAAAAAGGGCATGCTGTTATAAAATATCAGGGCAATCGGCGGATACAAATTTTCTGGTTGCCAGCTTGCAGGTGACGGTTATTCGATTGTTTATTGTATTCTAATTCCGCCATACAATAAGATAAGCTTAAATTTATTTTCGAAGTATTCGAAATTTCATAATCGAAAAAATTAATTTCGAATGTATTCGAAATAGTGAATAATTCGGTATTGGCCATCCCTGCTTGCCAGTTTAAAAAAATTACGCAAAATTTAATGCATGTGAAATTTATTTGTTTTAACCAACAACAGAATACTTTTCTGACCGATATTTATTTCCAGATCATTGCTGGAAATGATTCCAACCATCAAGAGTATTTCAAAAAGATATCCATGGATTGCCGGTAATTTTGCATTCACACTGCGCACTCCAGAAATGTTGGAATTAATCAAAAATACAGATCACAAAGATTTGACAACTCTTTTTCCTATTGATATTGTTCTATACAGATGCTTGGATTTTTATCAAAATAGAAAATATTCAGTAAGCCAACTATCATTATATCGCAAGTGTATGCATGCTTGAAAATGTACAGAGATCATTGATGGTTACGATTTTTTTATTTCCTTTTCATATAGTAATAAAATGCGCATATGTTTCTGAGATTTTAAATAGTAATGCATGAGAAACAAAATAAATGACTGTATATAATTTTATTACTCAATCGTCATAACCAGGACTTAATTTAATCATGTAAAAGTACCATCATGTGTATGCGTGATATATATGTTAAAAAACCGCCTTATCTAATTTATCAGGCATGGGTAAAGACCGAATATTGGCTGTTTTTGTGTTGAAAGTATATCTCACATTTTATTTTACTTCTACTGAATGCCATGTATCACATATAATGTCATATCTTTTTACCTGTTTTATTTAGAAACTTGAAGATGAGTCATTTACGTCATATGTTCATTACCAAATTGATAAAATGTGTGAAAAAAAATTCCATGAGAGGTATGTTGTGATATTTCAAATATATAAACTGAGAACATTCATTTAAAATATTTTTTGTGCCAGAATATTTCCAGAATAAAAAGAATTGCTTATTGTCAGAATATTTACTCATATCTAAGCGGTGCGCTATCAAATGAAATTCAGGTATTTCATATGTTTTGTACTTTCACAATCTAGTACACACATTCCTCTATAAAAGTTCTCAGATGCCATACTTGTTTTATTCGTTCACTGTCAGTGTACATATTGAACAAAAAAGCTTCTTTCAGAGATTTTTGCTTCTGGGTGAGAGGGAGTGACTTTGCTTTGAGTTCATAAAAGGAGGTTAAGTTTGGTAGCTAATTATTAACTATCACAATTCTCTTACTTTTATTGGGAAGGTTTGGAATTAAAAAGTCCTGACCTCATCTCATATTCTGTAAAACATCATAATTTCATGCAAACTTATCACTTTGATTGATAGTAAAAAAGTAAGCTTTTTTAGAATAAAAAATTACCATTAATATATTATTTATTATATGTGCAAAAGGTCAATAAATTTTATTATAGATATTAACTATGTGATTAATGAATTAGATTTTTTTTTAAATTGTTACAGATTTTTATTTAGAACTATGCATGTCTCATAAAATCCTAATCCTAATTGGAGGTGATGAACGTATGGGCCTCAAATGAATTTCATGCATGCAAATATGTATTGTGAAAATAACTATGTTGAATAAGTAGCATCCTTTTTGGGTTCATTTCCCGGTGTTGGCAGTATACCTTTGAGAATATTATTCATTCATATAAAGTTTTAAATCAATATCATAGTTAATATTCCAATTCATTCAAGTAAACTTTTTGATTTTAACCACTAACCATATTTTTTCATTGTGAAATTGAGTGGTTGTGCAGCTGCTAATTTTCAACGTTTTTTTTAGCTGTCCTATGAGTGCGGAAGTTGTAAAACAGGAATTCCAAAGAGCCCTGAAATATATTATAGAGTTTTTGAAAAAGAACAATGGTTACAGAAGGACAGATACGCTTTGGTGCCTACAGGTTGTAACAAAACTCGAAAAATACTTTTTTGAAACACTAGAATTGGTAAGTCTATTGGGATGTGAATTATAGAAATATGTAAATTATCAAACTAAGAATGCAATCTATGAAGATATTAGGTTTTGAATTAAAGATCTTCAGCAACCTGATGTTGTCAAACATCATGGTTTTGTAACTCTTGTTTTTAGGGAGGCACTTATATTTTTGGTTGTGTTTCAAGCTTATGTTCAAATAATAAAATAATATATTTCCAATGAAATAATCGAAAAAGTGTCGATAAACCATTGTTCATTATTCTATTCATGTGTATTCAAAATCTGAAACCTTAGGATCATCACATATGACCAGATTAGCAGATTCTTTGCATCCCCGAGTTGATTTGCATAGATTTTGAATGGTAACTAATCATTTCACAGACCATCCAAGTCCAATCATCTGGAACAGTAAATTGATTGGATATTGTCATTCATGATTTAGACTAAAGGTAGTAATCATAGAAAATTCACCATATACTGAGATGGCTTATAAGCTCTATTATCTATTATCCCTGGAGTAATTATGAAATTTTGTATTGAAATTTTAGTTTTGGTTGATTAAACTAACGCTATATAAATATCTTGTAAATGATACTATTGATTTGACATATTATACCAATTATAATTGAATCGTATTTTATAATAATGTTTTCTAGTCAAAAGAATCAGATTGTCATATTATTCAAAAACTGTTTTTGGAACTTCGCAAACAGATACTTTTTGAAATCACGAAGCAAAGAGAATTATTTACTACACAAATTCAGGTACTACATTGAAGTATGTAGCGACTTTTAATTCAAAACACTTGTTTGTCTCTGAAATCCAGGCTGTGACTCCAGCTCCGGCTCCCCAGCCCTGCTTCTATCCTAGATTTTTGTAGTTTTGAAAAGAACGTGTGACTGTCTATTGATTGTGGTATTGCTATTTGCTACCACTCAGATTTTTCACCACCAGTAATCAGTCTAAATATCATTTTTGCAGTGCTCTCTTGTATTAATGTATGAACAGCTAACAGATAATTTCATTTGCTGCATTGTTAAATTCAAAATAATTTGTTATCAATTTTGTAATCTACTTGTATATTTTTAGTTTTTAGGAAATGTCATCTCGACAAAATGGATTAATCCAGAATTTCAAACAGAATGGAAAAAACAAATTAAAGACAAAATAGATGCTTTAATTCAGCAAGTATGAATAGACATAATATTTGGGTTACGTATATTATCCCATTTCTGTGAAAAAAAGTTTAGTAATGAAAGATTATTTATATTGATTTTTCTATTTTGATTTGAATCAAGCATTCCTTTGTAAAATATTATCTTTTTACTTTGAAAGCATTATTTCATTTTACTTTTTTCAAAAACCTGTAGTATATATCATTTTATACCATTCACACTTTTTATGATCATAATGACTGGAACTGCTCAAGGTTTCACATGATTTGGTTTTTACTGGTGCTTAATTGCAGGGCTATATTTCTCTATCTTTTCAATAGATCTTGGCATTTCAGAACACGTCCTGACTGACCAAGCACCTTGTTGAAGTTTTTGCCATTACTTGAATTTCACGTTTGTATTTGTCTAACAACAATGGGATTTTAGGAGTTTGCGCATGATTATATAAATTTTTGCTGATGTATGACTGTATTTCTTCATATACTTATAGAAATGGAAAGAGGAGATAAAATTCATGGAATATTATTCTGAAGATCTTGGCAAACAAACTTTGCAAAAAGATATTGAGGATTGTTTCAATGAAAAAGCTTTTCAATGTGCTCAAACAATGTTGTCACGAAGTCGAAAAAATGTATGATGAGTTATTAAAGAGTATTGCTGTATTTTATTGTCTGATGTGTGCTTTCATTGTTAGCAATATTCATGAACAAATATGCAGCCCACAGACCATATGCCGATTTATGTGGCCTGCGAATTGACCTCTAAATTTATGCAGGAACCTGTGCACTTCAGCGATTCCTCGGAGTAAATTGGGGATTGGAGACCAGTGTTGTTAATTGACATATTCATTTGTCAAGTTCCAAAATCTTGAATAATTTCGAAAGTCTTTGACATGCAATTTTTAAGTTAGCCTATTTTCCATTTTAGCCGGATGGTTTGCAAATTCTCTGCATTTCTCAAAACTTCAAAAAACTTTTTGTTACCAATAGTTTGTCAACTTAGTTCTTTTTTAACTAGCTTTCAATTCATCAGCTCTCAAAGTTGTGTACTGAACTTGTACCTTTTTTAGAATTGTGTTGTTTATCTATTGACTTTTACTTTTAATCAATACATTACCGGTAGTTACTTTTTAAATCTGAGAAAAGATTCTAAATCATGAAAAAAAACTTGTGTGGCCGCTTACTCAGTCAGAACTAATAAAACGATGAATAAGTTTGTCACACCTGATCTATTTGAATGTTCCACAATGCCATGTGACAGTTGATTATTCATGGTGGTGTTTAATTGATATATGTATCTTTTTTATTTTTCCTACAGGATGGCTTTTTTACTAGATTCTTTGCATCAGATAATTCAATTAAAAACAAAAGATTGTATAGCATATTTGAACAAGTTTTCTTGAAGGAATATGACAAAAATAAGTCTTTTGACTTGAGTTCTGCTCTCCAGTTTCTTTTCCAATGGTCTTTCTCAGTTCAGTTTTATCAACTATTCTGTGAGTTTCATTTTTGTATTAAGTGTTATACTATCTAGAATGTATGAGATACAATATATTAGTAAGTTTTTTTTGCATTTATTCCTCAATACATACAAGGTAGTGGCAATAACTATTCTCTTTTTGACATTTGATAATATGGTATTTTTATGCACAACAAAAGCTAATGAAGATATATAATCATTGTTTCATATTACCAGACTTTTTAATCACTAAAAATTAAAAATCTAGACAACACAAGTAGTAAGTGTCATCACATTAAAAATGTTTTGTCAGACAAAGAATCTGCAATAAAGCATTTCAGAGAAGGTACTAAGGTATTAATAGAACAAATTGCTGATTATTTCCAAGAATCTGCAATACAGCTAGAAACTGCTGAAATCTCTGTTAAAGACCTTGAATTGATTTTAAAACACAAAACTGAATATTCTCTTCTGCATTCAACCATAAAAGCAGCTTTTCGAAAGGAAGTAAGTTTCATTTATATTTACATACAATATTAGCAAAAACAATTGGCACAGTGACCTTCTGGCATGTTGGCCTATGTTTATCATTATGTGGGTATACGAGTATGAAATTGGGTAGGCAATGGAGAAATGAGAAGATTCTGATTTATCCTCAATAGTATTTTCTTACATACTAGTGACTGCTTATATGACATGGAGCGTTTTTCAGAGTTACATGCCTTATAAAAAAGACCTAGAGCTTCCTGGAATTACTTTGCTGTTTAGTGTTTACTCAGCTGTTTGCTGACATTGTTTACTTGAAGTGATTCAAGTTGATACTCTGAAAACCAACAACAACATATTCTTCTATTTCTATTCTTTTTACTTTTATGTATATTTTGTTTTATTATTGTTAAAATTTTATGGCAAATAAAATAATACCTGTTTTATTGCAGAGTTCTTCTGTTGATGATGCTAGCCAGGAAATGGAAATATTTAATCAATGTGGAACTTATTTAAAAACATTTAAAAAAACAAAATCTGTTGTTGAAGATTTTTGTGAACTTTGCTTTCAGCTAAACAATGGTGAATATTTATTCAAAAAATCAATACTCAAATAAATAGACTAGAAAGTCAAATCACTAATATGGCCATTTCAATGTCTGCAAAATTCCATCCGTATGTAAAAGTATCGTAATGAGTCTGTAAATATAAAAACTCAGAAAAATTTGAAGTGAAATATAGGGCTCTGTAGAAACGAAAAGAGTAACATTTTTCCCTCTAGAAACTTCTGCCATTTCTGAAGTGAAATGTAAACGTAAAAGGTAATTTTCCACCACAACAGAAACAAGCACAACAGTATTCAGTTTGCAAAATAATCCATAAGTTTATTTCATGTCTAAATATCATATCAATGTAATTTTTGATAGTTGAAAATGTCTTTCCACATATTTTATCATGCTAAGAAACTAATCTTTTAAATCTATTATAAAGCTGGTGTTGTGGTCAATTATGAAGAGCTTCGAAGTCAAGTGAAAAAATATGTACAAGATTGTAAAGTCATTTCTCTCATAGTTAATGATAATCCAAATAATATTCATGCCACCAATTTTTTTGGTATATCACTCGAAGACCTCAAAAGTTTTGAAATCTTATCATATATCAAGGTATAGAATAAAAATTTTTGGTTTCAATATATTTGTGATTTAGATGTTTTTACATTGTAAAATGTGTAATTTGTCAAAATTTTGTTGATGTTAAAACTCACCTTATTCTAATTTCTACATCCTGTGTTCATATTCTTGCATTTATTTTGCTTGAAGTTTAAATTCCTTTCTGTGCCTTGTACTGTTTCAAAATCTTATGGTATGGTTCTCGATTATCTTTGAATACTGCCCTCAATGTTAAAAGAGGAATGCCGGTATTTATTTCATAATTGTAGTTGTTTTAATAATATATTTCAGATTTAGGTTTGTGAACCGACAGAATTTGGTTTTGATATTATAATTTTAGTGAATTTGTATTTGCAACACAATAGCAACAAATATTAAAGATTGTATAAATTAGTAAACAAACGCGTAAGGTCATTAAATTAAGGGTGATTTTTTGTTTGTGATAAAAATGGTATTTTTGATTTTGGTAACAGGAGAGTAAGATATTTCTTCATATGATGGGTACAAAATTAACAGGGCTGAGGGAAAATCCTTTTGATGAAGATGAAGATTCTAACTTACAATGGAAGCAATTTCTTGAATTTTGGACTGAATTGAAACCAGATGTTTTCAACTTCATAAAAACAGTTGACGAAGGTTATTTAAATGTTATTTAGTTGTTAAAATAATTTACTATAGGGATGGATATTTACTATACTATGTCTATGATTGTTTTAAAAATGTTGTTACTGCTAATAACAGCTCTTGCATTTTTTGTAGGAACTTTATCGTTGACAGAAGTCGCTGGACATTTTTCATGTTCACGTGACAATGAAAGGGAAACAAATTTTGAAGTTCAACTTCTTTATGATTTTTATCGAACATATTTTGTTGATGCTTCAGAATTGGATGTAGACTCAGGTTAGTTCTAAAGTAGAAATAGTGTAAGTAATACAATGAATCATCCAACTTTTATTCTTTAACTTATCACTATACAGCTCAATTCTCTAATGGAAACAGATAATAACATGAATTGATACATATTTCAACAATTTTAACTTTTCATTTTTTAAATCATATTCTATTTATTTACATACTCTACTGTAAATTTTCTCGTCATTAATTATCGACTATTGAAGGGCCCATGTCTAGTAACATATCAACTTCTAGATAATTCAATGGATATCACTGATGATGTGGACAAAGATGACACTTCTTTGAAGTCGAAAAATGCCGAATCATCAGCCGAGACAGTTGAGGATAAAAAACTTAAAAATTTGAATGACCGGGTACGACAAATTGTCAACACATTCAAGCAGAATGAAGCTGGCAGTGCAGTTGATGTTCTGCTTCGACTTCGAGACAGGTTTCGACTCCAAGGAAATTTTGAATTTATTGAAGACAGGAAGGTACTATAATATATTTTGTTGTTTCTTAGTGTTAACTTTCTGTTTTGAACAAAATAATTTATGTTTGATGTTAAATTAAGTTAAATATTATTCATGACATTTGCTGCTTTGGCTAAGTGAAATGTTCAAATTGATGCAGTAGCCCAGTGTTTTTCAACCTTTTTCAAGCCAAGGCACACTTTTTTCTTTGAGAAAATCCCGCGGCACACCACCAGCTGAAAATGTTGGGAAAAGACGTAATATTCACAATTATATTGTTAAAATAAGTTTTTTTAACATTGAAGAAAGATGTTTAATTGGACATCTTGAATAGCAATCAAATAAAAACAAAGACAAAAAGGCAAATCGCCACTTGCGCTACACCGCATAGACACACAAATTGGAGAATTTCCCACGGCACCCCTGACAATATTTTACGGCACCCCGGTTGAAAAACACTGCAGTAGCCTATGGAAATCAAAAATAGTTTTAGTATAATTTATTCAGTTTATTAATAAATATTTCAAAGGAAATATTAATTCAATTTTAAAAGTACAGTTATACAGGTTTGGTTATTACATAATATCATAAGGTGACTAGTTGTATTTTTTTTAGAAAATGTTGACAGAGCAGGAAAATGTCTTGCTTCGAGAAGTACCAATAAGTTTAGATATTCCAGAAGTTTGTAATATTCCTACAGAAAATTTAAAATTATTGGAAGCGTTTTTGGAAGAAGATGATCTCATTGAGTGGCTTCAACAAAAAATGAATGGTAAATATTGGTATTTTTCTATTGGTATAAATACCATCTGTCTAATTGACCAAAATCAAAGTTTTAACATACCCAAGTTTTAGTTGGCTTGGTTTATTCAAACTTTTTGCCACTTCACTAGTATTACATATGGTGTTCATGAATTTTATATACTGAGGTTTTTCTCCAATAACTTCCGTTTCATAATTGTTTCTGAGGCATCGGGTTGTTTTACTTATGTCAGCAACCTGATTTTACTGTTATTCTTGCAGCAGGGTTAAACCTATTAATAGCTCTTATTGCTTTTTATCAATAGTAATTTTCTATAAGTTATTGTAAATTATTATTTTCTATAAGATATTATGGTTTTGTTATTTTACAAACTTACATGGAGAATGTATATGTGCATTTATTATATTCTTGTTTAGACATCAATGAGGTTAAAGTTATGTGTGACCTTGCAATGATATTAGCTGGTGAAAACCCAATGGAAGTTGATCGTGTTTCAAACTTACTTGGAGCAGTGATGGGTTTTGCTCCTCTTATTTTTTGGCCAAAAAATGTTTCAACAAATTTGGATAATGCAACTGTTGATGAAGAGTCAGAGCAAACAATTCAAGATGTGGAAATTAAAGAAGTCGAAACAAATACAGGTCTAAAAGATCTATTGGAAAAATGCAATCAAGTGTGGAGCAACTATAAAGGCGATAAGGACATCTTAACAAAATGGGTAAACACCTTTTTAAAAGGGATTTTAATGATGAAGTTATGTTTTAGTCAAAAATAAAAATATGAAGGATTTTTGATGTTCAGTTTACTGGACTTGTATTTTGTGATTATTTGAATTGATGAAAACTGATGATTTTTCAAACTTGTTGTAGTTTTAATCTAATATCAAAAAATTAGAAATGTACTAAAAATACATCAAATTAAAAAAAGATTTGTGATATAAATCTTTGTCTAACCTTTATTTATCACAGAAAGTCACAAGTGAACAACTTCCTTGGTTTAAAGAACTGGAGCAGTTTCACGGTTCAGTTGAAAAGTTGTCACTTATCAGAACTCAAGAAATCAATGAACGAGGAGTTTATACAATTGAGAAAAAAGATGTCAGTGCTCTTCCGAATGTAGAAAATTGTTTGAATTTGGTTGTTCCGGGAAAAGATGCAACAGGTATATGAACTGTCTTATCATATCTAGAAAGTGCTATTTTACATGTGCAAAAAACAGCATTGACTTTTTTAACTTCTGCTTTGCATTAGAGATATTATTGTTTGGTATATTTTGTATTTAAAATAGACTCAGATCAAATCCTCAGCCTTGGAGAACTCTGTGAGTTACAGTCAAAATTAATGTTGATTGCCGGAGAGGCAGAAAAAGGTCAGCGTGATGTCAACATATTTGTAGAAAACTTGACTTCCATCCAGAAATTAACAGAAGTATATGTGAAGTTACTTGAATCTGGATGCATGCTATTCAATGAGTGGTGTCTCACAGTCAGGTTGGTTATGTTATTTATTTATTTGTATAATACTAATCAACTTCATATTGGCTGTACACTTGTTCAAAGCAAGTGCAAAATACATCCGACTTATTACCATAATTACCAAACTTTTAGATGTCTGAGTGAATCGAGCAATATCACAAACACAATTAAAATTGACATCAAATTTACTTCTGATACTCCATTGATCTCTTCTGTTGGAACTCACACAGATTTGGACAAACTTACTGGAATATTATCAGAATCTTTGCAAGGGTAAGTAAAATTGAGTTCAAAGAATCTTTTCTTGGATAATGAATTTATATACTTACCCTTATATACTTCAACCTATAAGTTACTAAAGATTGCATTGTTTCTTGATAAAATTATTTAATTATCTGGTCAAATGTCATGATGGCACCAAGCAGTGAGATTAATGATTGAAGATGTGTTGAAACTTCGACTTTATAAATATTTTAAAATTTGATTTAAAACTTAACAATTTTGTAATAGCAATAATAACTTTGTTGGTATTTTCATTACAAACTACCTGGTGGATCCCTATCAAATAAATCAAAATAAAGTTGTGTATGTCCCTAAAAGTTGGGTAACCTTGTCGTTTTACAAATTTGCAACTTTTTCAGATGGATCGATTATGTTTCAACAAAACGAATGGACTTCTACTACCTGAATGAATACAGTATTCAGCAAATACTTCATCTATGTAGACAACTTTGTATATTCAAGCAAACAAAACATTTGCCTGCACAGGTATATTTTCCTTAGATTCCTTATGTTACATCAAAATGATCTTCATATAATGTTGACTTCATAAAGCTTGGGGTTAGTTAAAGTTTTTCTTCTGCATGTATTGTAAGTACTATGAACACGCAACTCTTCTGGGAATCGAGGATGGTTCCTCGGGCTTGGTACAACTGCTCTGTGTAAAACTCGTGTGACGTCACACCAGCCATTTTGTGTCCAGAGTTCTATCTCTGTATGATAACTACCGGTAGGTGATTTGAAACCTGCGATCGTTAAACAGCTGAATAAAAAAAACGATGCTCAATAATTCGGACCAAACTTTCGCAGCGGCAAAACGAATCAACATTCTTGTGAAAAATTAATTATCCGCAGATGTTTCTCGTTAAAGGTTAAAGTCATCCAACTTCACTCGATAAATCAACACCCAATAAGACCAAAATATTAAACAAAAAGATACACATTTTATTATAAAATTCCTGATGTAAGTATCGCTACTTGCACATAAGCTTTTTTAACAAACTGACAGAACTACAATACAAATTATGCTACAGAATCTTGCACTATTTTTTGCGGTACATGTCATGATATTAAAATATGCGTATCGCAAATTTTCAACAAGGTGTACATTGCCAAAATAATATTAAAAAAATATACTACATGCATGGAATGAAGGATAACGGCGTATATCAAGTTTACAAGAACATCTAATAATCTGGAGTCTATAAAATAATATATTATCTATTTGACTCTTGCCGCAGGTCTACTAGCGTACCGTTTTTCAACAATTTTATTTGTCTCCTCTTTTGCGTGAATATTTAGCCTTAAATTGAGAAAACGTTTCAAAATTTCAAAAGCGATATTGTGGCAAGATGGGAAATTATATTCCAAGCAACTTTATCTGTCAGAAAAGTAACAGGCGAACATATATTAGGAAAGGCATTAATATTATCGCGAAATATAGTTTATACTTCCGGCAAAAATGCGATTGCTTTTTTTTGGATGGGTGGCATAAATATTGGGTAAAACTATCAATTTTCAAATATTTATCGTGTGTGTAAGACCTAAAAAGAGTTAGAAACGATTGTGGGCATTCATCGAGATTGACACTTTCCATAGAAACAAACACACAATTTGAACATCAAGGCTAATTTTTCACTGTTGGATATCGATAAAATTACAATTAAGTTTTATCAACGAAAACGGAGAAGACATGATGGCGTCGCGAAATCACCTAGTAAATATTCTACATTTTCCGAGGCAAAAGAATCGAAACATCCTGCCAATAATAAGTTTCTAAGAGCTGCAACACTAGTCGCGGCGGCTGGTTTTCTAAATTTTGTACTTTATAATGTACATGCTTCGATGAAATTCATTAGGCCGCACAATGTGCTAGCCATGAGATCGTTTACATTCTATAAATTTTGGAGCAACTGTTGCAACAGTTTGTTAAATTAAGAAAAATTTTCCCGTGAAAATTCATTCCATCATCTTCTGGAATGATTAATGTAAAACGCAGACTTTAAACTTTCGGCTTGATGTGAACAGGTATCATAATACCAGTTCAAATAGTACCTGATTTAAACATATGCATGAAGTTAATGACGTTTCACACTTGTGAAGGAAAGCGATATGTGTTTTTCATACAGAACGTTGCTACGTAAATGCGTATCGAAGTAATTAGGGAACGTTGTTGTTTAACTCAAGTTTGCGCAGTGGACATGTCAAGAATTGGAGAACATTGAATGAAATAACTTATACAATTTTACTGGTGCACGATGAATTTTATCTAATGTCGAAAGCTATCTTTAACCTCTGCAAATGTGTCGATGTCATATTAGGTTAAAACAAGAACAAATCGAAGTTTTTGTTATTTAATTCAAAAGCTTTTCAAAAAAATTCCACGCTTCTAAATTTTGCAGATTTTTGTATGATAATCGCAACATTTTATCTCCATCTCATAATTATGATTAGTCTCCTAGGTTGTCTTTCAAACAATATAAAACTTATCTGCATATAATATAAGGTTCGTGAGATATGAGGTTTCAAAGTTGCATAACTCACACGGCATGATAAGATAACTATCGCAACTTTCACGAAACCGCACGATATCAGTATGATTCCACGGGGCAAATAGCAAAAGAAAAATGAAATTACCTGAATAAAATGCAAAACAGTAAAAAATCTTCAAACAAATTGACGAACGAGACCTTCTGACGAAGCTAAAACAAACCGACGCTACCGCGTTCCCCCGATTCGCTGGACACGAAATGGCGTCCGATATGCACCATTGCACTCGGTGTCTCCACTTGGTTTATAGTCACTTTGCTTCTTATGCATAATCTCTCTGAAGAATGCGTCTGCGATTGCGAGAATAACTCATGTGAAATCGAACTCCGTCAAAATTGTCGAGTAAAATATTGAACATGCAGAAGATCGATAAGTTGGCGGTCTCTGATCGCTATCTACCGGTACTTAGTTTCTTGTACAGAAGTTAGCTTATGTTGTAATTCATCAGTATAATCGTGAAATTTGAACAACCTCAGATTCTAGTCAACTTTTTTGTGTTTAATTTTTAACAGGTTTTTGCTCTTCTGTCGTTTGTGCGAAATGATTTCACTCAAGAAGATTTAGTAGAATGTTTAGAAAATTTAACTGAGACTATAGATGATTCACAAATGAAAGTTGACATTGAAGGTAGTTCATTCATTTATAGCAAACTTCATATATCTTTCGTGCAATATAAAAATATATAACTTAGTAAGGGGTGAATCATAATTGCACTACAAGGCCTGATGACATTGCGCTTCAAGGCCAGAAAACATTCAACATATTTCCTGCCGGTGCGGCCATACGGGCATTCGTAACCCTTGGCTGTCGAATTCTGGTACAGAATTTGTTACTTACCGGTATGTTACATTTTGATGTTTTTGTGCAGTAATAATTAGAGTGGGATGTCATCAACATGGTCCCATAAAGTATTGAATTTGCAAATTCCGTGAATACAGTTATGAATTATGTGGTTTCGGTAGTCACTGTTCTTATTCCTAGCTGGTGCAATGGAACTGGAATCAGAAGATGACAATCTGTCTGATGATGAATCAGAGGATGAGAATTTATCTGATGATGAATCAGTTGATGAAAACGACCTGATAGAACATCAGCAAGGTTAGTATTCATGCTTTGTTGTTATTGAAGGTTTAACAATGAGGTGCTTTTATATATCTGCATTACTTATCCATACTGAGTGTGTTTATCTTTTCTTGAAGCAGTAACCCAAACTGAATTGAAGAAACGTCTTGAAACTGTTAGAAGTTTAGTACGCGATGGGATTGATGAAAATCTAGCTAAAGCTGCTGTTCAATCAGAAGGATGCGATGATTTGTCAAAATTACAATATTGGGCTCTTTTGCATGATGGAGAAGATGATTTAATTCAAGGGCTTTGTTCAACTTTTAACGATGCCATTGGTAAGCAATCATTTAGTGACAAAAAATTTGAAAATACCTTATAAAATCAAATATTTTCAATAAAATGTTGTTACTACTAGAATTAAATCAAGAAGAAAGTTTAGAACTTCAAATGCTGGCATCAGCTTTAAGTACAAGCGGAAATACTTTGTTGGAAGTGATCGGCAGATTACGAGAAAATATTATATCAACTATTGGAAGTAATTTTTTGGATTCTGTCAACACTATATGCAATGGCTATTTGGACGAAGCTATTGTAAGTTTCTATTTTGATTTTTTTGAATAAATTTATATATACCGGTAAGTTGTATTTTTGCATTTCTTAATTTTAAGGGAATCGATTTAGAGGACTACCTAAGTATTGAACAACTTGGCAAATGCTTGAACAATTTGAGCCAGGAAGGTCAATCTCATCGTCAACTAATTCCTGGATTAAGACATGGCCAGCCCAATCTTCTAGTTTGCAATGAAGAAGATATTCTCCCTACAGTGCTATCGTTGTACATGAATAACATTGATCAACCTTTACCTGGGAGATCAGAAGTTGTTATATGCAATGAGGAAACAACTGCAGATGAAGTTGAAAGATTTTTTCGAAGAGCAATGTGTTCTTGTCAGGATAATAGTAAGCCAGCTTTTTGGCACATATTGTAATTTTGTATATCCACTTTAAAACAGAGATATTTTAATCAATCTCGAATACAAAGACTGAAATTTTTTCTCACTTTTAATACTCTTGCCTAATTGATGAGTAGGCTTCAACAAGATAATCACAATTACAAAAACTTTAGACTGGATGTTCAAGTTATTTAATTCTAATGTCGCCCCTGTCATTCATCTTTCTGGATCAATTGCTGTGCTTAGTGCTTAGAAAATTAAGATTTTACATGAAAAGATGGTCAAACACTTTCTATATTTCCTAATGGTATACAATTTTGCAATGCACAGCTGCAATGTAATAAATTCAATACATGTCGATTTGAATATTTGTCTGTCATGTTAATCTGAATGATAAAATAAGTTATATAATATAAATAATGTAATTACAGATCAGCATTTGTTCACTTTGGCTTTTGCTGATAAATTGAAATTGGAAGTTTCAACAGCGGTAGAAGAAATATTTCGGGAATTGTCATCTTGTAACGAAGAAAAACTTAATAAAAAGTATCAACTTGTAATTGTAACAAGCAGTCAAAAGCATTATCTCTCAACTTGTTTTGACAAGGTCAGTTTCTTCACTTGCGTAGTTATGTCACTTTCCAATATCTAATCAGTGAAATTAATCATAAAGCGTAAAATATTTCATTTACAGATACCTATGCAATTTCTTTTACATGTTACTCTAATAGTATAAAATAAATCTCTAATTTTCTGAATATTCAGATCAACATCTGATACCCTACATATTCCAAATTTTAAACATGAACTGGCTACAAATTGTTATCAACAATACTATTTTGTTAATCGTCGTGTTTATAATTTCTGTAGTATCTTGTTGATGGTAAGTGGAGTGCTTCAATGAGTGAAATACAAGATTATTTGAAACAGCATCTTGAAAATAAAAAAACACAAATGAAAAAATATGGCAAAACTGGACTGGACAATTTTCTTGTAAAAGTTGTAATGTCGGATAGATCTGGAGTTGGTTAGTTGCTTAGATAACTTTTCAAACATAACTTTCCTCACAAATATTAGAGCTTGACATTTTATCCAAATTTTTGCACGCATTGTGCCACTGTGTTCAGTTAAAGCCTAACCAGTACCAAAGTGAATTGCTGTGATAGTGAGTTTGATTTGTAATATTTGTTTTGAGCATTTAATTATTTGAACTTTATGTTCATGTAATTGAGCATTGTGACGTGTGAGAATAGTAAATACCACGGGGTTTCTATTTTTCTGAGTAAAAAACACTCTTGGCTTGTATGTTTTACTATTTTTTATTTGAAAGATCATGCGACAAGCAATTGCATGGGACATATTTATGTATTTTGCTATTTTTCTCTTTGTCAACGATTAAAGCTAATATAGAAATATAAAATTGCTATTCGGATGTTACAAAATATATAAGGTTAGGTATTCACAGTTTATATGACTTTTATCTAACATTTTCAGGGAAATCATTATATGTAAAACGAGTTAAAGAAAAGCTCGAAGATTCTGTGAAAAATAAACTTCATTCTACTACAATACGTTTACTTGAGAACAAACTGGACTCTGACTACATTATTGAAAAATTGAATGACATAAACAGGCATAATGAAACTCAGAAAGACAGTGTTTCATTGATTCACATTGACTTGACACCTGCTGTAAGTTTAATGCTTTTATTAAAAATGTTGCACAATTTAACAAGTATTTTATTAAAAAAACATTAATCTAGGGTATTTATAGTGAAATATAATTACACTGAACTTCACTTAGCACTCACTACAAAGAGTGTTACAGAATTTTGATATTTTTTTTTTTCAAATTAACAATGGTAAATATTGGGAACATGTTCAAATATGAATTTTTCAAAAGTTTTTTTGTTTCTAGGTTCAACATGGGATAAAATCTTTCGCATTCAATCTTTTTGTTCTTGGAAGTATCCAAGGTAGTCAAGGACAAGTGTGGAAAACACATCCGAATCATTTATACTTTATTGAAATGACAGATTTTGGCTCAACTGGAAAAGTATGTATTTGCTGTCTTGTAGGATATATTTTCTGGTAGGAGAAAGGGCATTACTACACCTTATTATTATGTAATAAATCTTGATTCTTATCAGGTCATATTTTAAACATGGATATGACATCCCTATGTATTATGTTCAATATTTTTTCTTTATTGTTTCATGTTAATAAAACATTTATTATTAGTTGATTTTGATCAAACACCATTTTCTTTTGTTTCTTAAATTTGGATAAGACTTAATCTCATAGTTACTATAACAGTAGTTTTCAACTGGAATCCTGTGCACCCCAAGGTTCCACCATTATAGTCCAGGGGTACCGCAAGTTAACATTTAAATCAAAGAGTATATTATTGTACATATATTTGCCACTATTATTAAACTTACTGTACTACATTTTTTTCCCCCATTATTAGGTTTCCTTTCTTTGTTATTCATATTTCATACAACTTAAACAAGACAAATAAGACATAATTTTGACAAAAACAAATAAACTATTGCACAGGAGTTTGTAATTGTAGGTATGTTACAAAAAAAATTTAAAGTTCATCCGATTTAAATAAAAACTGCACCAGTGGATAGATATAAGTGAAAATAAGAAAACAATACCAAGTTTGCGAAAAACGGTCAAGAATTAACGGAGATATCGGCATTTAAGTACCGTCCGATAGGCCAATTTTTTTCCATAAGGATTGTATTGTGCCGACTCAAAAACTGTGACCGCGAGAATGTCAGATCGATAAACAACAGAATCGAAAAGTTATTGTGAATAGAAGAACCTAATGCAAAAAAGTTTACAAATTCTTTTTAACGATATTAGCTGCTTTCCAATTAATTATGTACGAGAAAGTCTCTGAACTTTACATAACCTCTGGTCGGCAACGACTTTCCCACTACGCAAGTCCCCGCCTACGCGGCAATTAACTGATTTAGCGTTTTTCATATCCGACCTTAACGAACGATTAATTATCGTTTAATATTCCTTAACTCGTAAGATACCGCGTAAGTTTACCGCGCTCAGTGAAACGCTAAACGAGAGAAATCGCTGCGAGGGAAAATGTCGGAATTCAATCGATAAGTGAAGCACGTTGACAGACGCATGCTAAGATCATACTTCCCGTGCCTTGAATTAATTTGTACCGTTTCGTAAACGTATGCGAATTGACTTTTTTTAATAAGAACTTTAATGAATATGAAAAAAGAACACATATCAATCCTTAATCTTTCGATGTGCGTCACATCTAAAAAAAATTGGGATTATGTTAGGATTTTATCCTGGCAACGATTCTCTCGTTTATTAATTCAAGACACGGGAAGTATGATCTTAGCATGCGTCTGTCAAATTGAGGTCGTCGGAAGATCGTCGCAAATCAACCCTGGCGTTGTGCATATTAGTTTGACAGTGCCTCGTTGGGGGTAATAAATACCGAGGTTCTGATTGAACAAACTTCATAAAAATTGGTAAGTATCAAGTTAGGAATGACATACATGCGTTCATATATATTTTATTGGTGTCCATAGACAATATCATTAATTTGCAGTACGTATAACTTTAGCGTAATTTTCAAAAGCCCCGAATGTTGGGAAATTTATGCGCTAATGTAAAAATTCAAATACCGAATCATAGTTGTGTATTTTATCCAAGTTATGTCAAAATTTCATGGAATTCCAAACAACAGCAGGCAATCCGTAGTCGTTTTTATGAGCGGTATTCTGACACGGCGTAACGGTACTTAGCAGACGTGGTGCGCACATTTTTTGGCGCGAAAAAGCGCGCTTCGTAACATTCCTAGTAATTGGGCGTTTTATTGGGGTTCTACTCTCCCAAAAATGCTGAAAACCACTCCTCTTTTTAATGTATCAGTGTTTAACCTTTCAAAGAACATTCACGAATCTTTGAGTTGATCGAATCCACTTTCTCAGCATATATATATATATTCTGGTTTTTAAATTTTACAAGTTGCTGTTGTAAGTTTTATTTAACATATCTTTTGATTTTGTAGAAAAGATTTTCGAATCAACATATATTGAATATGTTGCCCTATGTGAAATGTTTTTCTCCGCAAGAGATATTGAATGGATGCAATAAAAATTTTGATGAACAAATTGGTATGGATGTCGAAGAATTTTCATCTGAAACATTTCAAAGGCCATATCAATATCTACTGAGACATGATAACAAACAGGATCTGGATCTTTTTGCCTATTCTACACCAGAAGGTATTGAATGTAGTTCATTGTGCACTGACCAGTGGGACAATAGGGGTATGTTGCAAACTGTAGCATATGTACCATATTTATTGTATTCAGTATCAAAATTAACAAAAGTACCGTATGTAAAATGTACCTGCTAATGTAAGTACCATATTCATGCTATGTGGATGTAACAACTACTTATGGCTTTTTAGACATTTGTCATGGATATTGTTATGTTCTCTTCAATCAAAATACTCAATACCTTAAAAAATCATTTTAACAAAATTTCATGGTGAATATGGTAAATGGGTCATTTTTATGAGTGCGATATCTGCAAACTTACAGTGCATGTCATACATACTTGTGGTGCATTCTGCACACAAAGTGTTTATGACTCTGTATAAGCAGTTTCGTAAAAAATTTCTGGTTTCCATCTATCATTTAAACTCTATTCCAACAATTAAATTACCGTTAATATTATTAGTATCCAGAAGGTGTGCATGTTCTTAATAATTAGAACAATGTGTCATCTGGCACATTTTATTTCATAAAATTTTATAATTCAATTTATTTTTATTTAATTACAGGGAACCAAGATAACTGCATTGAAGTCTTACTACGTCACTGCTGCATGCAAAATCCATCTTGGGCTCAACTTCGGCACTTCTGTAGCTTTCTCAACGTTCAGCTACAAAATTGTGAAAAATCTGTGTTTTGCACCAGTCCAGCTATAAAACAAGATTTGAACGGATTGAAAGAATTTGCTGTAAAGTTTATGATAAGAATGGCCCAGGATTTTGCAACCCCGTCTTTAAAAATTTCAGACAGCAGCATCTCTGATAATCACCGTCAAGGATTTCAGGCACATCAAATTCGAAGAAAGTGGGAGGAATCAACTCACCCTTATGTGTTCTTTAATGATGATCGTAAAACCTTGACTTTCATCAATGTAAAAATTAACAAAGAAGGTCATTTACTTGATGACAAAGGCCAAATAACAAAGCACAACATTGCAACTCCAGGATTGGTCCAAGCCCTTAAACTCCAAGGAATGGATTTGGAAAAAGATTTTGATAGTTATTCTAGGCAAGAAAAGTTGATTCGTTTGCGACGTGTGTTGGGCGTAGAAGATGACTATGACCAGTATGACCCTGATCCAAGCTATGAACTCACAACTGATAACGTCCTAAAAATTCTTGCAATTTATATGAGATTTCGCTGCCAAATCCCTGTGATCATCATGGGTGAAACTGGATGTGGCAAGACAAGATTAGTTGAGTTTATGAGTAAATTAAAAGCTGGTAGACCAAAGGCCAATACTATTGAGAATGTTCAAAATATGATTACTCTGAAAATTCATGGTGGAATAACTGTTGATGATATTCATAAAAGTGTCAAAAATGCTGAAGAGGCTGAAGTTATGAACAGGGAAAAGCACAATCTGACAACAACATTATTTTATGATGAAGCAAATACAACAGAAGCAATTTATGCAATCAAGGAAGTTATGTGTGATCTTAGTATTGGCGGAAAGTCTTTTGAAGACTCAAGATTGCAACTTGTTGCTGCATGCAATCCTTATAAAAAACTTTCACAAGAAGCCATTAAGAAATTGGAGGATTCTGGACTTGGATATCGAATTCATACAAGTGAAACTGCTCATTTATTTGGCAATATCCCAGTTCGTACACTGGTATACAGAGTTGTTGCATTGCCTCCAAGCATGCAACCATTTGTATGGGACTTCGGGCAGTTGAATGATCATGCAGAAAAAATTTATATAGAGCAGATGACGAAAAAACTTGCAACTGATCTTAAGTTGAATGAGAAAACAATTTCGATCATTAACCTTGTGCTTTCACAATCACAAAGATTCATGAGGACAAGAAAAGATGAGTGCAGGTAATGTATTTTATCGCATTTTTTCTAAACTTGGAAATTATTTGACAAAAATATTATTAATTTTTATGATTTACCTAGATATGTCAGTCTACGGGATGTGGAGAGGTGCATGATAACATTCAAATGGTTCTTTGAACATCAGGATGTTATTTTTGACCATATTGAAAAAGAAGTTGAAGAATCTTGTAAAAAGGCACAAAAACCAATTCCTGAAATCAACAGAGAAATCCGAATAATAATACAAACTGTTGGAGTTTGTTACCATGCATCACTTGATGATAGACAAGCTTTTCGAAAAGTTTTGGTAAAGAATCTTGCAATAGCAAATGTTGATGAAAGTTACATAAACATGGAGCTCACAGCATGTCAGTCTGTGTTTTTACGCAACATAAGAATAGGAGATAACATCGCTTGCAATCAAGCTCTGAAAGAAAATGTTTATATGATGGCCATCTGTGCTGATATGAAAATTCCATTGTTCTTGATTGGCAAACCAGGAAGCTCAAAGTCATTGGCAAAAACAATTATAACCAACAATATGCAAGGGCAGACTTCACATGCACCTTTGTACAGAAACTTGAAACAGGTGATTTTAATAGGTTTGTCTTGTGATGGTTATTTGCCAATGCCCGGGATATGCAACCTGTAGCCCATGGGCCAAATGCGGCCCACAAAGCAAATTGTGCGGCTCATGGAGAAGTGCCAATTCTGAATGATTTGCAACCCGTGAAACGATTTTAGATTAATCTGGTACATGCAAGTAATTCCAATCCCTTTGAGGTACAAACCCTATACCCGAGTTCAATTTATTATTTATGCCTATGATATCACAATTGCGTTTTTGTGCCTGCAAGTACTAGGACACTTATGTTGAATAAAGTCGTGGCCCACGATTTCTTTCAGTTACTTGTATATGGCTCTGCTGTATTGAAGGTTATACACCTACACCCTTGGTCTATACAATGCACCTACTGACTGGCACATCATTTACCATATGTTTTACATTTTTCAGATTCATATACTTTCATACCAATGTAGTGCACTCACTGATGCAGCAGGAATCAAAAGCGTTTTTAAGCAATGTGCTCAGCTGCAAAAGAAACAGGATTTGAAAACGTTTACTGCTGTTGTAGTTTTGGATGAAATCGGTCTTGCTGAAGATTCTGCTAACATGCCACTGAAAGTAAATCTATTTTCGCCTGATTATTTCGATTACTGTAAATGATGATAGAATATAAGTCTGTTATTGTAAGATCTTATCTCTTTATTTTCAGGTTCTTCATCCGCTTCTGGAGCGTCGAAGTACAGATCTAACTACTGTCTTACAACCTGATGATGAAAGAGTTGGGTTTGTTGGAATCTCCAATTGGGCTCTGGATCCTGCAAAAATGAATAGAGGAATATTCCTGACAAGAAGTAAACCTACCGAACTTGACTTAAAAAAGACAGGAAAAGATATCGTTCAAAATACCAACTTATGGAGAATCAATGAAGACATTTTTGAATCTTTGACAGAAGCTTATCTGGAAGTTTACAATGTAGTTCAGGAAAAAGAATATTTTGGGCTGAGAGATTATTATAGCCTCATGAAAATGCTTTGCCACAAGCTTGCAACTGTTAAAAAAAATGAAATTAGCTTTGAAGATGTTGTTTATGCCGTTCTTCGAAATTTTAGTGGAGGGCCCACAGGAGTTCATGATACAATTATAGAAAAAGTCTTCAATGTATTTAAAGAACAAAGTGGCGATAGCACTCTTGCAATTCCTAATATTCCCTTGCAAAATATGATTTGCGATAATCTTTGTGAAACAGAAAGCAGATTTTTACTTCTTCTGGCTAACCAGTTTTCAGTTGTCCACTTGTTAGAATATTGCATTAAAAATAACAATAGAGGATTTCATGTTGTGTTTGGTTCGAGTTTTCCAGGAGATCACAGTTACACTGAAATATGTAGAAATATAAATAGAATTAAAGTATGCATGGAAACTGGAAAAACTGTAATTCTTCTCAACATGACCGAAATACACGAATCACTCTATGATGCTCTTAACCAACATTTTGTGACATTAGGGGGACAAAATTATGTTGACCTTGGTCTTGGAGGCCACAGGGTCAAATCCAGAATTTCCAAAGATTTTAGACTAATTGTTATTGAGAAAAAGACTGCGTTTTTCATAAATATCCAATACCATTGATAAATAGGCTTGAAAAACACCATTTCAACTCAGAAAGTCTTTTGGATGAAGCTTCAAGAATTGAATCCGAAGAGTTATCCTCGTGGGCTTCAAATTTTACCAAGTTGAAAAAATCGACATTTGTCGAAAGCGATGCATTTGTTGGATTTCATGATGATACAATTAGTTCTGTTGTTCTGACCACAGATTTTACTAATGAACTTGAATGTGAGCAGTCTTATTGTCCGTACAAATTTACTCTTCTGCAGTCTTGTTCAATGGATGCATTGTTGAGGTTGAACAATTCAAGTCTATGTACTGCTGAAGTGGATATGGCTTTGGAAGTTTACTTTAGGCAACAATGTCATGACAGACTTGTTGATGTATTGAATAGATGCATTGAAGAAAACCAGAAACTTTCATGTATGGAGATTATTTCGTACTCAAGCATATTGTCTGAAAATGATAAATATGTTCTTGAACAACAACTTGGAAATATAGATGTTAAACCAATAATAACACGTTGGTCACTTCAACTTTTCCATACACAGCAAGAATATTCTGATAAACTCGATGTTTTTTTTAATCAGTGCAGTAAACCCATTGAAAGTTGCACCAAAAGCGTCCATATTCTGCTTGTTCAATGTGCGCAGGCACAAATAAATAGTTCTCTTATAGCTTGTGCACAACATTGTTTGACGAATAAATTACTGGAGTTCAAAAATAAATCAAATAATAATTCTAATGCCACTGTTGTCATTGCAATGTTGTTATCAATTGAAAGAGAATGCAAATTGGGATCAAAATCTGAAGCACTTGTACTGCAACATACACAAGAATTCAATATCATTTATGTGGATGAGCTCCGTCCTACTGACCACCACCTTGCTCCAGCTAGCAAGTTTTTAGGCAAATCTTTGTCAGAAGTATTTGAGATTGGCAAGCAAGAGCTAGAATTGAAGAATGAAGAAGTTCTTGTGAATATGAAGTCTCTCCTAAGTGATAGTGTATGTGAAGCGGTGGCAAAAGTAGAAAGCGAAAAAAAACAGAGCAATAGATACTTCAAGCGTATTGAAATACTGAAAAAATTGTTTTTGGAAAATAAAGATGCCAATAAATATTTCTGCAAACTTCTGCTTGATAAAATGGTAACTGTTTTGTTGGAAAAACATGAACAAAATGATAATAAAGATTGGATTGAATCAGAAGCTTTGAACAGAGAAAACTTGCAAGAGGGAGGGACATTCAGAAAAAACTATCTGGCTTTGTTTGAAGAAGCATGCCGCTCGCATTCTTGCATGTGTTGTTAGTGTCATTGATCGAGACAATAACATGGATCTTATTGAAAACGAATCTGTCGCTCCCTGGTTAACCAACATGTGGTTGAGCATGTTCGAGCTACTAGACATAACCTGGACAGATGTGACTAAATCAGCAAAATTCACCATACCCGGATCAATGTATGCTAACAAATGTTGTCAATTGCCATTCAGCTTTATAATCATTGATTTTCTCAATACAGAATATGCTTTAGAATCTAAGCACTGCAGAAATCTTAATGAAGTTTTTCCTGGATTGTTTCAAAATCAAAAAATGTATGAAGTCGTTGTTAATGCTCTGAAGAGTGCACAAATTTCTGTTATGAAGGCATTTGTAAGTGATCTTGTAACAACTCTGTACATTCCTGGTTCGGATGATGCGAATGAAGCCAAACTTATCGAAGATACTATTTTTAAAATGTCTCTGACAGCTTTCAAAACTGCTCGACACAGACCAGAGTTTCATTCTGGGGGAGAAATTGCAATAATATTCCTGACATACAAAGAACTTGAGAGGAAGTTACAGATATTTTCAACAGTTGTTCATGCTTGTCCAAAAATATTGGAAAATGCAAAGACCTGGGAAAAGAATCAATCTGAAGCATTCATTCTTCATCTTGAAGCAGCAAAAGACACATTAAAAATATTTGAAAAATATGGCAGAAAAGATTGACAAACCAAAGAGTGTGTCGAATGGTTGAAGTTGATGAGATGTTTCAAAAATATATATGGATCTATAGTTCATGATATAAAAGATGACAGCAAGTCATGGATATCATTGTCCCTACTCGATTCACTTCTTCAATGTGTTCTTCCTATTTCGCATGAAAATGTATTTTTGAGAAAATTTTTAAAAGTGATTGCACCGCAAGCAAAACTATTCTGGCGAGGTTCAGTAATGTCTGATCCAAAATCATATCAGTTTTTACGCATTGTTGGCAAGTTTTGAAAGATGTTACCAGGACATTCAACTGAAACTTTTGATTGACTTCAAGTGTCATCTTTGCAGATCTAGGATCAAGAGCCCTACTAACTTGCCATGTGGCCATTATGCATGTGAAGGATGTATTGCCACCATTCTGAATTTGCAAGATGAAAGGCAAAAATGTGCAATTTGCATTCAGGATATTCCTGCAGATTTTGTTCCTACTGCTACACCCTTGAATAAACAGCAATCTGTTATTTTGCAGGAACTTAAACTGAATTGTACAAATTTTTTCTTGAAATACTTGAAAGAGTTTTGCTTCAAGAAACAGAGGGACTTTTCAGATGAAATGAGTCGGATGAAACAGCATATTGAATTGATTTTAGAAAAGTTCGTTCTCCATAGTAGAAGAGAAGAAAATGAAGAAATTGATTCCACTGCATTGGATATCAATATTAATACCAGAAGTTCAATTTTGCAAATTTTACTCAGTTTTGATCCTACTTTAGTTACTGATAAAATAAATCAGGATATGGCAAAACTGAATACAGCAGATATTCAGTCATTCGTTATAGTTGGGCTTAAACATTTTGAAGAGAATGCAATAAGAAATTATATGAGAAAGTATGACAAGACTGTCAAATACTGGGAGGAAATATTAGCTAAAGCAAAGCAATATTTTCAAACAGATAACTTTGCAGATATTCAAACTTTGGCCTTGATAAAAAGAATTGCTGATATAAGATCTGCTGTCTTTTATTTTGTTCTCTATGTCAATGATATTTTGCGAGAGACTGGGAGCACAATGGATTCCAATGATACATTGATTGAAACTGGTCTGAGTCTTATGACAAGTTCCTATACTCCAAAGTCAGTAAAAGATTTCTTCATAAAAATGGGATGCCACAAGTTCGGAACACAGTGGCTTGCTAAATTAGGAAATCATGCAAAATATAAGGTAAGTCCTAATGGGCTAAATTGTGTCTTTTAACACATGAATAAATATTAATTCTGTGATAACATACGAAGGTTAAAAAAACTCTCACATTAAACTCCCACAGTTGACATACATACCTAGTATATAGGTTTTATACTATAGTACTTATAGCTTTTCCAAATCACATGTTACTTGAAAACTTCCATTGATGGTATAGCTTCTCTTATTTACTGATTTTCATAGAACTCGAATTACTTACAGGTTGAATATTTATAGTTTATATAATTTGCAGTCCAGATCTTCTAGATTTTATGTTATGTGAATATAATTAATAGAATTATATTATATTTATTATTAATAAATATTAATTCTGTGATAACATACAAAGGTTAAAAAAACTCTCACATTTAAACTCCCACAGGTTGACATACATACCTAGTATATAGGGGTTATACTATAGTACTTATAGCTTTTCCAAATCACATGTTACTTGAAAACTTCCATTGATGGTATAGCTTCTCTTATTTACTGATTTTCATAGAACTCGAATCACTTACAGGTTGAATATTTATAGTTTATATAATTTGCAATCCAGATCTACTAGATTTTATGTTATGTGAATATAAAGAGAATGTTTATTCCATAACTCAAATTTAATATAAGAAGTGGATTTACATATTTAATGTTAATCTTATCATCTCAATGTTTCAGTAATGTTTTTAATCTATATGTAAACTTTGATTCATGGCATGCGTTAATTGTATTTTGACACTACAGATTTATCAATTATATTCAACAGGTTCTAATTCCGCCCTCACTCCAACAAGTTGCTGAAACTTCGGTTGTTGATTACTGGTATTTGTTAGGAGATGATTTCAAGGATATCAAGTCTCAAATATTCCAGACACCTATTGAAGATTTTGAACGCTTTGTTGAAGACTTGCTGAGTGACCATACCAACAGTCTGCAAAAGCTTTTTGCTTTGTTTTCATGGCTTAAGGAGAAAGAGAATGCAACAATTGGGAAAATAGTAAATATTATCAAGGATAAAACTCAAAATACTCCTTTGGTGCCTATCAATGAAGTTATTTTACAGTACTCGGTGGATCATTTTTCAACTTTTCAAGAGGCACATACCTTATATCAAATCATCATGATATCTGTGGTAGCAGCAACTAGTCAAAATGGAATTATGAAAGGATTCAGTTCGATTATAAAAAATCTGAATGCTATAGAAAATGTTTATCTTCCAAGTATGCCAGAACATTTTCTATTTGCACTCCCTGGTGATTATAGATTAGATGCTAATAGACGAAATACAATGTATGTTTGTGCCTGTGGATATCTTTATAGCATTGGTGACTGCACACAACCCAATCAACGCAGAGAATGTCCTGAGTGTAAAAGGAGTATTGGAGGTGTGAATAGCATACTGGAGCCTGGGAATCAAAAAATGAATTTAACTGAAGAAAGTCAAGCTGGTTACAAGATTGATTCTGGTACACATGCAATGTCACTTGCAGCGGACAGGTTATCACATCAAGGTGCAGCAGTTGTTCAATTCATTCTCCACGCATGCATGTTGGCTGGATTAACTGAAAATTGTCAACCCATTTTCAGGTCAGTGCTTTCCAAATGAAATTATTTGGAAATTAATAATTTTATGATAGTATTTTAGTTTAAAAATTTCAAAATGCCAAGCATTGAATATTTTGGTATATACTTTTATATGTTATTTACATATTTTTCTTTTTGTTTAGAATGATCAGTGTCAAGAATAAGACAGAAGCTAAAAAATTCATCATTGAAAAGCTTCATAAAAACTTACAAGATTTATCCAAAGCTTTGTCAAGAAATGTTGATGATTGTGTGCTAATTCTAATGAGGATTTTACTAAGAATCATCAATAAGGTATAGTTTGTAGCTTTTATACAAAGTTGAAATGCATTACTACATAACTTTTATATATATAAGCAATATACAAGCAATATCAAGTCAATAGTAGATAAAAATCTTCACTGTGGGCATATTCTACTATCTGTAGACTGTTATTGTATTATAGCTTCTGGTGAGAAAAGTTTATTAATCTCCAACCTACTATTATGCACGCTAATCTGATCAAGTTTCCCCATTTTCCTAAGCGACTATTTCTCAAAGCCTGAAATGATTGTTATAGGATCGGGCATAGTTGACGTTTTCATATTTTTATTTTATGTGACAAAACTTGGCAATGCAAAATATTAACTCGTTAATTAGGGTGCAGTTGCGTACTCTCAAAACTGGTCAACAATTGAAAGTCGTCGTGAATGGGAAAAAGTATTTCAAAATGAATATCTGTTGCCTGTGTTTCAAGATATTGATACACAAATACAAGATGCAAAACAATTAATGAAACAAGCTGAAGATGATGAAAGAGAACCACTGAACAGGTTGATTTTTGTAGTATCATAGCATTGTTTTCAGTTACATATCATATGCTATTATATAACCAGGTAATACCTTCTTTTGATTTGAGAGAATTTCCTCTCTGATGCAGCAGAAAAACATTCAAATTATTTGTCCATTATTCATAAATCTTCTTGTTTTATGTTATTTATACATATTGAAATAATAAAACTAGATATATATATATTATTTTTAGACTCTTGAATGATGTTAACTCTGATGATGAAATTGAAAAACGCTTTGATTGGAAACATTGTTTCTTCTGGAATTATTTTAGTCAACCAACCCCTGAACACCTATTACAAGTTTTGTCTGACAAGACTGAAAAGGGTCATGGTATGTAAATGTAGTGACGTTATAAAACTTGTTTTAGGGTTTATTTTTTGCTTCAAGTTTAACTAAAATATTTTAAGTATACCACTAAGGGGTAAGGGTATATTCTTTACTTATTTCCAAGTGTGTGCCTATTATAATATCTCTTTTCACTTGCTGAATGAGTCTAATATAAACTAGTAATCTTTTTCATGGTCATAATTCAATTTATGTGGACTGGATCTCAAATTTCCAAATGACCTGTAGTCGGATGAAAATAATTCATGATTTTGCATCCCTAAAAACACCTTAGGAGAAACCTTATTTATTAGTTATTTAAAAAAAATTCAAAAATTTCCTAGATACACTAATGTTATAGTTAACTTGTGTTTTTCAGGTGAAGTTTTGAAATTGATTCTTCAAACACCAGATATTTATCTACTTATGCATTTGGAAGATATTCTGAAATTACAACATGTTATGATTGAGAGGTTTGTTAAATAGGCTATAATATGTGTGAGAATTAGGTAAAAATATATGTCTCAATTATGTTCTTATATGAATTAGGTATAAATACAATATCGATATGCAAGAAGCAGACCAAAGAACCTTTGAAGATCATGTACATCAAGATGGATTTGATGATGAACCCTCAATTGAAAAATATATTATTGCATGGAATTCTGTGAGTTGATTGACTTCTAACCAATAATGCTCTGGCTATAAGCATATTTCTGCATCGGTGCAGAATCCATCAGAATAATTTGACATTTGCATCTTCATGGCTCCGTACACGGATTCTCTGCGTTGACTGAAATTAAAAGCAGAAAAACAAGGCAACGAAGGAACCTCCTTTTATTGGTTTCTTATTTGTCCCTTCAAAACAGGCACACCCATCACCTTAACATTTGCAGAATAAATTTGTTGTGAGCTAACTTTATTATTTTACAAGTGAGCCACAAATTTTTTTTTATTCACATAGTGCTCCGCATGCAAAAAAAAGATTGAGAACCGCTGTACTGAAGGATTGGAAAATAATACTTTTGTAGTTGTAAAACGCATGTCAATATGGAAAAATCTAATCTATAACTTGCTAATTTACTAAAGAAACTTGCAAACTCGTAGAGAGGGTGTTTACAATATAATTTTGAATTACCAATTTTTTTGTTCCATTCCAGATCTGCCCTCAATTACAGGATTTTGCTCCAAGCTTGTTGAAAAACTACTTTGTACCAATTACAAAACAGAGCTCTTTATCTGTCGCTCTTCCTAGTATCCGTGGTCGTGGACAATGTGCAAAATTACTTGCTGAATATTTAATTGAGATTCAGAATTCATTTCTTTCAAACTGTCACAGAGCTATGCGATTAGCTGAGAGGTAGAATGCATTACACACTAAATGGCATGCTGATTGATTTCTGATGGTCGTAATTTTGATTTCACTTTTGTGTATTGCTACATCAGTTTGATTAAAGTTTCAAAAAATAGTATGATGTATTTTAGCACAATCTCTGAACTAAGCTTTGCACAAGCAATCGCTTAAGAGTTTCAAATCTTCTGTTTTATTGGGCTTTGATATTTTCTTCAGACGAACTCTTTCATTACAATTGTCTCAGTCAACCCAGCCTCTTACTTTATTTTAATAAATTGTTTCAGAAATGAATATGCTGATGTTCTGCAACTTGTTTCAAATGATTTTATTTGCACCAAGAAACAAGATCTCTTACTTTTAATTAATGAGCATACCAAATATGATATTTTGACGAATGAACAAGAAAAACAACATTTGATGTCTTACAATATTGATGCTTTAGAAAAACAGGTTTGATTTGCAGCATATTTTATACAGTCAATTAACCCAATGAGGCCTAATAAGGTTGATCATGATGAATACTATATATTAAATATATAATTTTAATTGAAAATGCAATATTTTTAGAAACAAGTATATTGCATGTAATAAATTTATTTATACTCTTGTTTAGGTTCAAGAAGAATTCGTTCGCAGCAAGAAGCTAATTGATAAGAAGGTAGATGATTTGTGTAATTTTTATTAAATGAATTAAAGTTATTCCCATATCAAAAACTAGAATTGCTGATGTAGAAACTCCATAAATGATCAAAAATAAAAAGAATCATATTCCCAATTATAGTATGTATTGGATGTTTGAATAAATAATTGCAGCATTTAAACTAATTACAGACATTACCTTGTATGAGTTATCCTCAGGATGTTGGAATTGGTGTTGATTGGGGTAGAGTTGTAGCAACTACAAATCAGGTGAGTCTCAATTCATACACACAAATTGATTCACTTAGTAGAGTAAAAACCTAAAACAAAGCTGATATAGCGGATCACTTACTCTCTTCCTTTATTGGCATTAGTTGATTTTTTTATTGGCTATTGAAGGTTTGTATTAATCTATGCGAAAATAAAAATAGAGATTGCACATATAGGAGAAAATTTATTTAACTGTATGTTACCAATGCATAACAATGATTTTAACACAAACATTGGGGAATGCATGTGGTTATCAATAAAAATATATATTTGTAAGTATACTGCTAGTATTCAAGGTTTTCTCTCGAAAATTAGGCCTTAGCTGTACATCATATTTTTGCTTTTTATTTGAGGACATTTAAACCTGGTGAATATAAAAAAAAATTTTATATTGTCATAGTGGAAACATGTAGCAAGTTCTTGAAGAAGAAGGTACAAATATGACCTAACATATTATATATTAAGCATTAAAATAATTTTCGTAACAATTTCCAGATACCATTGACAGCTAAGCTATCTCAAGATATTGACAGATTAGTTTCAAAATGTCATTCTTCTGAGATATGTGAAGTGGTTAGAACTTTAACAAACGCTATCACCTTTTTGTCTAAGGTAAGTTCTTATTTGATAAAATGATCGTTATGCTCTCTGCTAGGCTTTTTCTTCAGCCTGCAACTTGGTGAATCATGAATTATCCAATTTTAGCGTTGATGGTAATGCAATATACATTTTGCATATTATGTCATGTGGTGATGTAGTGACAACAATAGTATTGCAAATTGAAGATTATTGACCTGGATAATATAGAAATCAATCCATGCTCACTGTAGGATAGCCCGAATTTAAAAGATCTTCCTCTATATCTAAAAATATATTTATAACCTGATAGCTACTTTTGTATGTAATACTGGCTGCTCTATGTAGAACATTATACAAATTGGAAAGCTTTGTAAAACCACTAACCCCGCTTAATGGCAATGTCCAAAGCTCAGTTTTTGTTGCTTCCAGTCACAGACCTTCTATGATTTTACTAATTGCTTCATTTGTCAACCATTTTATTGAAAATGCTTCTATGATAGGTTTCTATTTTAAACGATATTTTTTTCTCAAATTAAAGGTGAAAATAAGATCTGAAAGACCGCTCTGTGATTTTCTTGAGAAAGATCTGAAAATGATGTCAGCTCAGACTTCTATGATACCGAGATCCACCAATACCTGCCATGTTCTTTCTTTGTATCAAAGGTTAACATGGCACAAATCGGTAATGTTCTCTCATCGAGGACTTGATCCATACAAAGAAACTTTGTTTACTGGTAAGAAGAATGACTATTTTCATTCCCCTAATGCTCTGTATTTGTGTTTCCAAAGTTCTCAGCAAGAAGTATGGATAGATGATATCTTTATGTTTAACTCATATTTAAAGTAGACGTGTTTCAGTTTACTCATGTATGTATTCATATGAATTCAATGATTCAGTGATAGATCTTAGGTATTGCCAACCTATCAGATATGCTAAATGAGGAAGAATGTAAAAAAAACGGTATATCATGTAAATTTATAATATTCTAATTTGGTTTTGTGTATGGATAATTTGCTCTTTAAAAACATTAGTTTGGAAAATCCATAATTATAATGTTTCATAAATTTTTGATGAACCCTTTATGACTGAATATTTTTTGCAGCACTCAATTTCGATTTTTATAACATTCTTGGTCAATAGTTAATATATAATATATCTTCTATATCTAGTCAATCAAGAAGAGATTCCCGATTATATCAGAGAAAAAGTTGAAGATACTTTTAAACAAATGGATGTTGTCATGCTACAACAAAGAATCAACGAAATGTTGATCAACTTTCCAGAAAGTAATGCTGACTGGAGGTGAATAAATATGTTTTCAACATTACTTTGCAAATCAATACAAAATGTTGAAATCTATAGTTAATTGCAATTGTCTTAATTTTACGTTGATCATAGTGTTTATCTCTATAGTAGTTAGAGGCGAGACTTTTCTGTAAAAGTTTTTCACATATGAATGTTAATCAAAAATATATGGATAGCAAACATAGCGTTTTTCTTTGCAGTCTATCAGTTTCTTTTCCTGTCATGGACTAGGAATAGTACCATATCGACTCCTTTTTGAAGTTTCCCCCAATACAATTTAGTAATTCTTTAAAAAACATACATCCATCTAATGGTATTATATTATTTCAGCTTGGTTGAAGATTTGTTTCCAAATATCCAGTTTATTGATGGAAATGAAGACGATAGTTGGTATTCGAAATTGCCAGAGGAATTATGCTGTAAACACATTTCTGATTTATTTTCATTGAGTGTGAAATTTTTGTTGAGAAATTGAACGAACATTGATGTTGGTATGTAGTGAAATTAATCTTTCAATATACAGTCTGATTATACAGTAATATATAATTTGGCATGTACTAGCCATGGAAGTGTGGTATTGTGATTTATTTTGTGTTTCCTGATTGTAGAACCTGCAGTAGAAATCGTGTTAATGCTTATTTAGTTGTGCCCTAGATTCTGCCTTATATATTATCAGAAGATAACAAAACAGTATAATATTCATTTAATACTATTTAGGTAACCATTTAAGTAATTGTCAGGCTGCTCATACAGAGCCTTGTTCGGTATGAAAACGCCTCATTAAAATTTAACTTTCTTGTTATCTAAAGATGAATATGTTGTGTTTTGTCTTGTGAATACAAATAGAGCCCTGAAAGAAAATCACTTTTTGATTATATTGTACGGATGAAAAAATAATTTGGAACTGATGTCAATAAATAGACTATCACCATTTACATCTTTTATGAATTGACAATAAAGTAATCTGCATTCCTATTATACAAAATGATTGTGACCGAAGTTTATTTCTTCAAATTTGTATTTCTATTTTTTATAATATTACCGGAACTTCAAATGCAACCATGCTGAATTTCCAATAACATTAACTATGTATTCTTGATTTTAATATGGATTATTCAAATGTTGGTGATTTTTTTGTACATTTATGCAAGTTAAATCATTACCACTGTTTTTTCTGATGTTATTCATTATCTAATAGCCGATTTACTGTCAATTCGTATATTTAACCATCTATAAGTATAAGCAAAGAGAATCAGGCAGTTTGAATACCAATTTATTTTACCTTCAACCGCTTCCACTGAAAAAATCGTATTTGTTGAATTGATTTCAAGTTTTATCATTGATTTTTCAAAAATAATTTCTGTAAAGATTTCAGTCTGTTGTTCATTTTAGTTTTCTTTTGTGTAAACAATAAAAAAAATACTAGTAGTCATTGTAAGTTGCAGTGCGTTATATTTCTTCACGGAAAACACGCTGGAGGTGGAGCTGATAGGCGAAAAGGGTATAAATAGGTAGAACTTACTACAGATAGTAATGTTGAAAATGACGAACAAACTCACAATATATATTTGATTTGCTCACCTCAGAGGGTTCTCAACCCATTCTTATCTCTGGCAAAATTAGGAAATTTTGGGCCCTCGCTTGAGCGTCTGATCAACAATACGGTTTTTATAGGGATTGTTCGACTTTTCGACTTGTTTCGAAACCGAAACAAATTACCACGTCCTGTGGGCTGTATCGCTCCGAAAAAAATAATTCAGTGGCTTCGAATCTGTTAGGACAGCTCGTAGAGTTTGTGCGACTTTTACACAAAATTCAATCGTAGAGCATATGTGCTCAAATTAGATAAAATTTCTCCTTTTCGGTCGCAAAATCGATGCCGTTGTCGACTATCAGTGCTGCAAAACTTTTTCTATAAATTTTCGAGTAACCGATGGATCAGTTATTGAGCCTAAATTTTTCATGATATTTAATTAGGTTAGTCATAAATGATGGCACAAATTCCATGTGTTGGTATAAAATCGAACGTTTGCCCCTTGCTGAATCTTCGGAAAACAACTTGCTTGGGATCTCTCAACTACGGAACATGTGGCCCCTTCGAACCCAGCTGTCTTTCGCTTGTGTGGTCCTATTTCTTATATATTAATTGTGATCGAATTATTCACACGGCGCGGCGGTGTGGCTCAACGGGCTAAGCGTTAGGGCTCAACGGGCTCGCTACCGCACCTCTAATTACTCTGCGTGGGTTCGCAGGTTCGAATCCCATGCAGGCATGGTTATGTGCGAGAGGATTGCTGGACTCCTCGCCGTCGTTGGGTGGTTCACGTAACCGCTGATCGGTTATGGCTTCCTCCACCATCAAGTTCATGCTTTCGAAAACAAACAATATAACTAATCCCATACCCGACTTGGAATGGTAACCGGACGAGAGGCCGTGGTTCGCCATATGGATAAGCCGGCTTTCCTCTCCCCCGGGATAAATATGTAGGCTAAATCCTATCAAATTTTGCTGATTAGTAATTCTATATTGCATAAGATGCCACGCATCATTTAACACTGCGGTTCCCAAGCTTTATGTTCGTTCGTGCGACGCCAAATTGTCAGGGGAAAAAAATGACAGCGCACTTACATGAAAAAAAATTCTGCTTTTTAATAAAACTCAATTTCGTGATCGTTAATGTGTAGTTTATGCCTTTTAAAAGTTTGTAAATATGTAGGTCTGAGGAATAAGGGCAAAAGCTCAATTCTTCTTCCTCATTTCTGCCCGGTTTTCCCTTGAAATGCTAAAATAGCACCTGTAGCTAATGTGGATTTAACTATGAATTATAATGCTATTTAATGTATTACTAGTGTGTGAATTCAATGTAATCGCAGATAGTGTCAAGCTCCCTATACACCCATTTTCGCTGAACCCAGCAGGTAATTAAAAGAATAATTTGCGCTGGACAACAGTATGCCACGTAGAAAATAAACAAATTCAGCCATCGCATTGAATAAATTGATTGTTCTGTTGTTATTTCATTCTGTTGTTCTTCTTCATCAACTTTGGCTGATGCGGCCTAGTTTAATAGAATTTGTTGTTAAATTTTTCATGGATAAAACACTCTATTATGACGTCACAACGGTGGGAAATATTGCCGCTTTTAGCGCGCGTTACTAATGGAGGCGGTACGCGGCACTCCACAAAATCTCGAAATGGTACGCGGGCGACTAAAGTTTGGGAATCGCTGAATTACAGAAATCAAATATGAACTCATTCACTACATTAAAGTAAATACAGTAATGAACGTTTGTCATATAAAGATACAAGAGTTATAAATTGAGAAAGATAGTTGCAGTAAAGTAATGAAGACATAATATATTAACTATTGCAAGTATACAGTAATTACTAGGTCATTGCAGTGATTCAATAACCTTTTACATTATATTTTTTCAGGTGGTGTCATAAAAGCAGCCACAATAAAGATCTCGGTCGGGTTGTTACAAACATTCGAAGTAAGTCGACACGAAATTCTTTTTCATATTTGATTTGAAAAGTTGGTATGACATGCTTCGTAAATCAGCACGGAGAGCATTCCACATAATAACACCCTTATATTCGAGTGAATTTTGAGTTTTAGTGTAAGTCTGGCGAGGTACATGGAGTGATGATGTGGATGCTGATCTAGTGTTATAATTGTGAACATTGCTTTGCTTGACAAAATAGTTGTTAAATGCCTGTGGCAGGCAACAATTGTGGAATTGGTGCATCAACTTACAAATTTCTAGATGATAAATATCGGTATGCTTCAGGACACCAGTTTCGTGATACATAATATTCATGTTAATATGAGCAGTAGGCCTATAGAGAATTTTAATGGCCCTGTTCTGTAAAACTTTAATAGGATTTAGTTTTGACTTGGAGGCTGATCCCCATGCAACAACTGCATATTGGATATATGTTTGAAAGAGAGAATAATAAACTATCTTCAGTGTATTTCTGTCCGTGTAATGTTGGAGTTTGCTCAAGATGTCTACCGAACGTGAAAGTTTTTTTCGCACTTCATTGATGTGCACATCCCACTGTAGACGATTGTCTATGTTTAACCCCAGATATTTATACGAAGGCACAGACTCAAGCTCGATTCCATTGATTTTGATTTCTAGAGAAGTTTTGTCGCGGTTGCGATTTGGCTTAATGTGGACTACTTTAGAATTTTTTAAATTGATGGTAAGCTTGTTACTTAGCATCCAATTATAAATTTTTACCATTTCTAGGTTGACATGATTTTGGAGATTCAGTGAAGATTCGGAACTACAGAGAAGACCGGTGTCATCTGCAAATAATTTGGTCATCAAATCAGAGCAATGAGAGATGTCGTTTATAAAAAGAACGATAATAATGGGCCAAGGCAAGACCCTTGGATTACGCCAGCTTCGATTGGAAGAACCTGGGAACGGTGAAAGCCAACTTCGACAAATTGGAGTCTGCCCTGCAGATAATCTTTGATAAGGGCATGCGCGCAACCTCGAATTCCATAGTGATTAAGTTTGCGAAGGAGTATGCTATGACTAACGGTATCAAAGGCCTTTTCAGGTCTAAAAAGGCACAGCAGACATGCTCTTCCTTCTCGATTTTATCATAGATATATTCTACGAGGTCAGTTATGGCATGGCTTGTTGAGTGATTTTTTTGGAAACCAAATTGGCATTTATTTATTAGTTTGTTCTCATCACAAAAATCGCTTAATCTGCAATACAGAAGTTTCTCAAAGACAATTGCCAGACATGATAAAATGGAGATTGGTCGATAATTAGATGGGTTAGTTTTATCACCTGATTTGTATAATGGTATGACTCTGGCAAATTCAGCGCAGATGGAAATATGCCTATTCTTATAGACGTGTTGAAGAAATTTACTATGATGGGTGAGATTATGTCAGCAATCTTCTTTAGGAGAAATGTAGAGATGTTATATGGGCCTGTGGCCTTTCCTGTTTTCAAAGCAAGAATGGTATTGAAGACTTCGGTCACATTTGTTGATCGCATATAAATTGACTCCTTAACGGGAGCTTTTAGAAAGCTCGAGAAATGTTCATTTGTTGTGGGAACAGCTGCTATTAAATTTTTCCCAATATTTGAGAATAATTTATTAAGTTCGGAGGCAATGGTTAGGCTATCATTAGTTTTGAGGCCATTTTGAAGTTTTAGTTCTGATATTGAGGAGTTGTTCCTCGATTTAATGTTCACAATCTCCTTTATTGTCTGCCATGTTTGTTTTACATCTCCTCTATTGCTTTTTATTTTTGACAAATAATAGGCTCGTTTCGATTTTCTTAGTAGGTGAACTAAGATGTTGTGGTATTTTTTGTAATGTGCGCGTTGGCTTTGACTGCCATGCAAATAATATTTTTTATGCATTTTACTTTTCAATCTAATGGATGTTTGGATACCATTCGTAATCCAGGGTTTGGATAGAATTTTTGTTTTTTTTGCGAGAACCCGGTACCCTAGGTGCATGTTCATCGCGTAAATGTTCCAATGAGGTCATAAAGATGTTGAACACCTCATTGAAGCTATCAGTGGACAATTCTGTCAATAAAAATCCATAGAATGCGTTTTGAGCATCATTTCTGAATGTTTCCTCATTGAAATGAGACATTTTTCTTTTCATGCGGGGTTTGGCCTTACGGAAAGTTGTGTTCGAAAAAGAAAAGGATGACATAATAGGAAAGTGATCGGATATATCATGTTGTATGATAATAGATGAGGAGCAGCGATCGATTGCATTCGTGTATATATGATCAATAAATGTATGTGATGTCGAGGTTACTCTTGTT